CAAATGAGGAAGACCAGACAGACTGCCAACACATTTCACACGGTTCTTTTCTGCTTTTCCATTTTGCCAATAACATCATAGAATGCCATGACAGCCACTCTTAAGACAGTCTAGACCACGTGTCAAACTCATTCCAAGCTTGATTATTTGAATCTGCTGTGTCGTGCTAGGGCAAAAAACAAAAAACGTGCACCCCTTGGGGTCCCGAGGACTGAGTTTGGGAAACGCTGCACTAGGCCCTCCATGGAATGAGTTTGACACCCCTGGTCTAGACAATGTATTTTCATGGAAGATTTAATTAATATACTGGCCAGGGCATTACAATATACAAAACTTGCCCTACTGCAAATAGTTAAACTTCCAGGATATTTAGGAAACTGAAGAAAAAAAAATTAGGAAAAGAAAAAGCCATATCCTTTGAAATAAACCACAAAATTAAATGACATACCAGTTTGCTAGTTACCTTCCCAGTTGAAAGTTAAGGCGATCATGCTGAGAAATACGTAATAAAGACTCAACATTCCCTAGCAAATAAACAAACCCACACATGGTTAAAACATTTATTACTAAAATGCAGATTTCTCTAAGGCAGCAGTTTCATGTGTCTATAGGTCTCTACGTTTGACAGTGAATCAAATACAACGGTACAAAAACCATCTTTCTTGCTGTGTGCCGCCTCAAACGTCAACATTAGACAGCAAGCGGTAGATACAATTTATTATTATGCATTATTATTATTATTATTATTATTATTATTATGGACATTTCATTCAAGTAAGCTACTATCCAAAGTGACTAGTGTAATTGGCAGTACACAACATGACCTTGGTTATTTACACATTACAGATCATTATACTTGGATCTGCAGAAACACACAATCAAAGAAATAAAACAACTTCTAGATTACTTTCAGTTAGGAAGTATTGATAACGTTGAGGGGTATTCTAACACACACACACACACACACACACACAGACACACCGCTCTCTTGTTTGAGTAAGACACGAGCGATTCAGATTCCAGTAGTCCAGTACAGCTAGAGGAAATGTAAGATTTTAGGAACGGTGACATCTTTAAACATGGACCTTAGATGAATCATCTCTCAAACCAGTGACATCCCTCACATCTTTAAAACATGGACCTTAGATGAATCATCTCTCAGACCAGTGACATCCCTCACATCTTTAAAACATGGACCTTAGATGAATCATCTCTCAGACCAGTGACATCCCTCACATCTTTAAAACATGGACCTTAGATGAATCTTCAAACCAAGCGATGATTCTCCACCACGTCATCTCCAACAATAACCCTTCATATCGGTTTCAATACGACACCATAAAGCATTAAGTCAAATATGAAATGTCTCTTTGGTTAACCAGGTGAAATGAGTGGGTGAATTAGTCGTCAACTAATGCTACACAATGTTGGTGTTATAATGGCAAAAATAAGAGCACCAGATGTACACTGAACAAAAATATAAACGCAACACGTAAAGTGTTGGTCCCATGTTTCATGAGCTGAAATAAAAGAGCCCAGAAATGTTCCATACGCACACAAAAAGCTTATTTCTCAAAAACGTTTTTGTTTACATCCCCGTTAGTGAGCATTTCTCCTTTGCCAAGATAAACCATCCACCTGACAGGTGTTGCATGTCAAAAAGCTGATTAAACAGCATGATCATTACAAAGGTATACCTTGTGCTGGGGACAATAAAAAGCCACTCTAAAATGTGAAGTTCTGTCACACAACACAATGCCACAGATGTCTCAAGTTTTGATGGAGCGCGCAATTGGCATGCTGAATGCAGGAATGTCTACCAGAGCTGTTGCCAGAGAACTGAATGTTAATTTCTCTACCATAAGCCTCCAACGTCATTTTAGAGAATTTGGCAATATGTCCAACCGGCGTCATAACCGCAGACCACATGTAATCACGCCAGCCCAGGACCTCCACATCCGGCTTCTTCACCTGCGGGATCATCTGAGACCAGCCACCCGGACAGCTGATGAAACTGAGGAGTATTCCTGTTTGTAGTAAAGCCCTTTTGTGGGGAAATGCCCTTCCAGGACCTCGCATGGCTGCGCCCCTGCCCAGTCGAGAAATCCATAGATTAGGGCCTAATGAATGTATTTCAATTGACTGTAACTCAGTAAAATCGTTGAAATTGTTGTACGTTGCGTTTATATTTTTGTTCAGTATAAAATAAGAGCCAACTTTGCCTTCATTGTTTCCAAGAAACACGGGTTAAGAAATGAAAACGTCTGTACCACAAAACTGAATTATAGCTTATTCGTGTTTCTTGTGGAGTTATGAAATGTCACCGGAGTCAGAATTAGGCAGGTGGTCCAGTAGCTAAACTAACATGTTGCTAACTCAGAGCAATCAGAGGACTATCCACCTCCATACCCATATTAACTCAAATGCTGTCCATGCAGAGAGGTTATATGTACAAAATGCACAGGTAACTGCCAAACTAAAGAAAATACCAACATAAAGTGTCTTAATAGGGCATTGGGCCACCACGAGCAGCGCTTCAGCACTTGGCGGTCCTGCTCTGTGAGCTGGTGTGGCCCACGTCGCGGCTGAAGCCGTCGTTGTTCCTAGACGTGACTTGTTGGAAAGGTGGCATCCTATGACGGTGCCACGTTGAAAGTCACGGAGGTCCTCAGTAAGGCCATTCTACTGACAATGTTTGTCTATGGAGATTGCATGGCTGTGTGCAATTTTTTTTTTTGACACCTGTTAGCAACGGGTGTGGCTGAAACTGGCGAAAAAAATCCACTATTTTGACATACTTTTGTATATATAGTATACTTTGTATCCCTCATTTACTCAAGTGTCCTTTGTTTTGGCAGTTACCTGTATATAAGAAATATAGGGTCAAAAACAGAATGTACTTGAACAAGACTTGTCCTGAAAGCTCAGATTAACAGGTGATCAAAATTTACGTCAAAGTCACGTCAAATCGGTCAGGGATTGCTTTCGTCCTCCCTATTACAGACATGTATTTCACTACATATATACATCTATACAGGCCCAGATATACAGACACAGAGCTAACTAAATAGTTTAGTAAAAATAAAAAATAATAATTGGGGAAAACTAGACACTCCTGCTTGAGGCCCACTGCATTCTTCAGACTAATACATTAGTCTGGCAGGCTGAGGGAAATGTGTGGAAACCATGTTGTGATTTAGGACCTGCTGCCAATGAAGTGTCAGATGCAAATCACACCAAACTTAAAATGGCTGATTTTTAAATTAAAGTTTGGGGCTTCAATCAATCAATAAAAACTGACTGATACGTCTTACATTTGTAAGATACTGGCTTGTTTAAAAGTTACTTAAAACGGTTTAAAGCTTTACATTACATCAAGCTTTGAAATCCTTCAGTGACTGCACTACTGCTTATCTGACCATTCTGTGGACCCGTCCATATTGTCATTATGTATGAAATGGTCCATGTGCCTAGGCAGAAGTCAGGAGGGGATGCCATGAGAGTGGTCTACCGCTGGGACCCAGGCAGTATCTGGATGGGGAGTGGTCTACCGCTGGGACCCAGGCAGTGTGCGGATGGGGAGTGGTCTACCGCTGGGACCCAGGCAGTATCTGGATGGGGAGTGGTCTACTGCTGGGACCCAGGCAGTATCTGGATGGGGAGTGGTCTACCGCTGGGACCCAGGCAGTATCTGGATGGGGAGTGGTCTACCGCTGGGACCCAGGTAGTATCTGGATGGGGAGTGGTCTACCGCTGGGACCCAGGCAGTATCTGGATGGGGGAGATCAGTCTCCCCAGAGGTGGAAGCAAACAGGATCGGATGTCTCCATCCTGGAGCATGACTATACCCTTACTGCCCCCCATGGTGGCTCTGCTGCCGACTACAGCATTGAGAGGTGACAGTAACACACTAGGGGTAGGGAGACTCATAAACCAGTGCCACAGCATCCCTAATCATTGTTGGTCATACAGAATGGCATGGCTTTATGTTCACGTCATCTTCGCTACACAACAAGATTGGTTGTATCTACACACATTATATAACATGAGGGTGTAAACAACCATACAATTGAAGCATTTAAAAGCCATTGAATCAACTTGGTATGAATTATAATGACATTCTAAATAAGAGAATTCATCTTTGGCTAGGGGCATTTATTATTATTATTTTTCTTTAGCCCGTCTGTCCACCTCTGGACCAAACCAAGTCATCTTCAACAAAAGGGGACAATGTCAATTACAACTGCACTCCAGTGTTCAGTCTTTATCTAATAAGAAACACATGATAAAAAGAAGCCTTCATAGTTACATCTTCATTCATGGGTCAAACCAAAGAGAGTCTCTCTCTCATGACAACTTCATTCATGGGTCAAACCAAAGAGAGTCTCTCTCTCCTGACAACTTCATTCATGGGTCAAACCAAAGAGAGTCTCTCTCTCCTGACAACTTCATTCATGGGTCAAACCAAAGAGAGTCTCTCTCTCCTGACAACTTCATTCATGGGTCAACCCAAAGAGAGTCTCTCTCTCCTGACAACTTCATTCATGGGTCAAACCAAAGAGAGTCTCTCTCTCCTGACAAATTCATTCATGGGTCAAACCAAAGAGAGTCTCTCTCTCCTGACAACTTCATTCATGGGTCAACCCAAAGAGAGTCTCTCTCTCCTGACAACTTCATTCATGGGTCAACCCAAAGAGAGTCTCTCTCTCCTGACACCCCCCCATGTTTAAAATAACCCTTCATATTAATCAGTTGTCTTTCTTCATAGTCATCATCTGCAGTTGAATCAAAACAATTATTGCCATTAGTCTTAGGGAGACATGATAAAACAGATTCTTCTACGAACGAATTAACAGTTATCTTAAAAAAAAAAAAAAATATTCCATCTTTAAAAAGGAAAAGTGTTCCAGAGCTCCGGTGAACGGTTTCTAGAGATGTGACATCACAGGCCTCCCTTTGATCCCTGTCTGCCGCGCTCCACAGCAGCTGAGAGGGGGAACTCAGAAGAAGATGACATCCTCCTTGTGTAGGTCCTCAGTGCTCCCGAATGGAGGAGGCAGGCTGAGGCCGTGGACAGGGGCCTGTGCTGGAGTGGGGTTAGGGCTCTGGGTGTGGAGGGGGTTAGGAGGCTGGAGCTGGGTGTGGAGGGGGTTAGGAGCCTGGGGCTGGGTTTGGGTGTGCAGGGGGTTGAAGGCCTGACTGGGGGGCTTCTGTAGGCTGGCGGGCAGGTTCTCTGTGGGGGAAAGAGAGCCAGAGAGAGAGCATTCAGCCATTTGGTTTTAGATAGGGGTAGTGGTGGGTGTGTGTGTGTGTGTGTGTGTGTGTGTGCTACCTGTCGAGTGCAGGGACTGGGAGTGGACTAGGGTGTTTGGAAGCTGCTGGTTAGGGCTGATGGAGCGCTTGGCTTTCAGAGCACCGTCCTCTCTGGCTGACAACTTCATAGGCAGCATCTGCTTCATATCCACAGAGGCTGGGAGAGGGGGGGGGGGCAGAGAAGAGGAGAGTGGTAGAAAAAGAGAGTGCAATAAAGACAGTGAGAAAGAGTGAGAAAAGAGGAGATTCCCATTACATTGCCATTACATTGCCATTGCAGTGTTTTATTGGCCTGAGTCCAGGAGCCATCCAGTTCACAGCAGCTAATGTGATCATGATGCAGAGTCATTAGGATCAGTAAGGCCAGAGTCCTGATACAGCCGAGGTCATGTCAACCTAACGTGTTTTCACAAGCCAGGGTGCATAAATCCCACTGTTTCGACCAGAGCACCACTACACAGGGCAGGCAGGGTTCTCTTTGTACTGTGGCAGAAAGTGTCTGGCTAAGACGCTTCAGGACAGCGGTCACGTGTGTCTGGCTCAGACGCTTCAGGACAGCGGTCACGTGTGTCTGGCTCAGACGCTTCAGGACAGCGGTCACGTGTGTCTGGCTCAGACGCTTCAGGACAGCGGTCACGTGTGTCTGGCTCAGACGCTTCAGGACAGCGGTCACGTGTGTCTGGCTCAGACGCTTCAGGACAGCGGTCACGCTTCAGGACAGCGGTCACGCTTCAGGACAGCGGTCACGCTTCAGGACAGCGGTCACGCTTCAGGACAGCGGTCACGCTTCAGGACAGCGGTCACGTGTGTCTGGCTCAGACGCTTCAGGACAGCGGTCACGTGTGTCTGGCTCAGACGCTTCAGGACAGCGGTCACGCTTCAGGACAGCGGTCACGTGTGTTTGCGAGGCAGACTTTAACCTACATAGTCAGCCTTTACTAGCGCATGGCGTGCAACCGTTTACTTTTATTGGCATTTCCTGAGCTCAACAAAGATCAAAATTAGATCAATCAACATTACATCATAGCTCAACATTAAATCAACATTAGATCATAGATCAACATTAAATCAACAATAGAGCATAGATCAACATTAGATCAACATTAGACCAACATTAGATCAACATTAGGGAGTGTCCTGCTATCCTACTGCAGGGTTCAATACTTCCGTAGTGTATGCTACTACTAACTGGTGTGTGGTGGTGGTGTGTTGCGGCTGGTCTTACCTGTGCTGTCGGTGCGGTGGGAGGCCTTGGCACTCTTTGAACTCTTTGAGCTCAGCACTGCCAGCTTGGTGGGGATCTGCTGCTGGACGCCCACCTGCTTGTGCTGCTGGTTGGTGGTGCTGCACAGGTGGAGCGGCACCTCCTTCTTCACCGGCAGCGCCGTGGCGTTGGCGCTGGTGCTCTGACCCCGAGGCAGAACCTCGGGACGCTCCAGGTAGTCTGAGGGCGCCACCGAGTGGCTGGGACGCACCAGGGCCTTCTGGGGGAGGGGGAGGGTGTGGGAGAAGTCTGATCCGACGCTGCTGCCCACGCCCAGCAGGAGTCCCCCGTTTAGACTGCCAGAGAGGGGCATCACCTGGGAGGGGGAAAGGGAGAGCATTCATTCATTCATGCATGCATTCATTAATTCAGCAAAAACCAAGCCATGAGGTCAAAGGCATTGTCCGAAGAGCTCCGAGACAGGATTGTGTCAAGGCACAGATCTGGGGAAGGGTAACAAAACATTTCAAGGCTGAACTCTTTTGGCCTGAATGCCAAGCGTCACGTCTGGAGGAAACCTGCCACCATCCCTACGGTGAAGCATGGTGGTGGCAGCATCATGCTGTGGGGATGTTTTTCAGCGGCAGGGACTGGGAGACTAGTCAGGATCTAAGGAAAGATGAACGGCGCAAAGTACAGAGAGATCCTTGATGAAAACCAGCTCCAGAGCGCTCAGGACCTCAGACTGGGGCGAAGGTTCACCTTCCAATAGGACAACGACCCTAAGCAACAGCCAAAACAACGCAAGAGTGGCTTCGGGACAAGTCTCTGAATTTTTGGTGGTATTTTATTAGGATCCCCATTAGCTGTTGCAAAAGCAGCAGTTACTCTTCCTGGGGTCCACACAAAACAGGAAACATGACATAACACAGAACATTAATAGACAAGAACAGCTCAAGGACAGAAATACGTAATTAAAAAAAAAAGGCACACGTTGCCTACATATCAATACATACACAAACTATCTAGGTCAAATAGGGGAGAGGCGTTGTGCCGTGAGGTGTTGCTTTATCTGTTTTTTGAAACCAGGTTTGCTGTTTATTTGAGCAATATGAGATGGAACAGAGTTCCATGCAATAATGGCTCTATATAATACTGTACACTTTCTTGAATTTGTTCTGGATTTGGGGACTGTGAAAAGACCCCTGGTGGCATGTCTAGTGGGGTAAGTTTGTGTGTCAGAGCTGTGTGTAAGTTGACTATGCAAACAATGTCCTTGAGTGGCCCAGCCAGAGCCCGGACTTGAACCCGATCGAACATCTCTGGAGAGACCTGAAAATAGCTGTGCAGTGACGCTCCCCATCCAACCTGACAGAGCTTGAGAGGATCTGCAGAGAAGAATGGGAGAAACTCCTCAAAAACAGGTGTGCCAAGCTTGTAGCGTCATACCAAAGAAGACGAGGCTGTAATCGCTGCCAAAGGCGCTTCAACAAAGTACTGAGTAAAGGGTCTGAATACTTACGTAAATGGGATATTTCCATTTTTATTTCTCTAATATATTTGCAAAAATGTCTAAAAACCTGTTTTTGCTTCGTCATTATGGGGTATTGTGTGTAGATTGATGAGAAACCCCCCCCAATTAAATCTATTTTAGAATAAGGCTGTAACGATAAAAAAATTGGAAAAATTCAAGGGGTCTGAATACTTTCCGAATGCACTGCATACACAAAAGATTAACAACATAAAATTGGAGGATGAGAAGCCATTTTGAGTCACATGTGCAAGTAGTTTCAAAAAGTTCAAATCAGGATATAGATATTTGAGTTTCATGTAGGACAATTACATTGCTTTAGATTGAGGTTGCAAATGAGAATACCGCTGTCATGGAACTTGTGGTAACAACATAAGGACAGTACTGTTGTCATGGAACTTGTGGTAACAACATAAGGACAGTAACTGTTGTATGGAACTTGTGGTACAAATAAGGACATGCTGTGTCATGGAACTTGTGGTAACAACATAAGGACAGTACTGTTGTCATGGAACTTGTGGTAACAACATAAGGACAGTACTGTTGTCATGGAACTTGTGGTAACAACATAAGGACAGTACTGTTGTCATGGAACTTGTGGTAACAACATAAGGACAGTACTGTTGTCATGGAACTTGTGGTAACAACATAAGGACAGTACTGTTGTCATGGAACTTGTGGTAACAACATAAGGACAGTACTGTTGTCATGGAACTTGTGGTAACAACATAAGGACAGTACTGTTGTCATGGAACTTGTGGTAACAACATAAGGACAGTACTGTTGTCATGGAACTTGTGGTAACAACATAAGGACAGTACTGTTGTCATGGAACTTGTGGTAACAACATAAGGACAGTACTGTTGTCATGGAACTTGTGGTAACAACATAAGGACAGTACTGTTGTCATGGAACTTGTGGTAACAACATAAGGACAGTACTGTTGTCATGGAACTTGTGGTAACAACATAAGGACAGTACTGTTGTCATGGAACTTGTGGTAACAACATAATAGAATAGTTTGCTGATCTCTGTTCTATGTCTCTGACCTAACTGGGTTTGCCATGTAAATTGGATCCCTCTTGCGTTGGCATTTTATGTTTGTGCACGGCAGCCATGGTTTGCAGTGTGCAGCGAGAGCGAGAGCACTGCTTGTTATGTTTAAATGACTAGTGAGGTATCTTTGAACCCTGCTTCTAAAAGGGCCAGCCCAGCACCCGGCGCCAGCAGCATCTTAGCTGAGCACTTGAGGAGGTGCAGAGCCGCTGTGGCATTAAGGAAACACAATCTGTTGAAGAGCAGGGTATTTATGGGATAAAAGTGAAATCAGAAACACATGCTACGGTTTCTGCTGAGCAGGCAGTTTGGAACAGGCTTTGATGTGCTCTCAGAGAGAAGCACACTATGGTATAATGCTGCTCACACAACGACAGGAAAAACATGATTTCTCTCTCTCTCACACACACACACACACACACACACACACACGCCCTGGCAGATTTGCACTAGCAGGGAGCTGCTGCAGCCGCTCTCTCATGACATTACAGGGTAGCTCAGAACACTGTCTGCACTATCACACTAATAACCAACTTTGAGGAAAGTTGAGTGAAGCAGCAAAGCGTAGGAGGTGGTATTATGCCAATAAACCATATCAGTTTATTGTCCAACCGGCCCTCCGCCATGTATCTTAGGCCAGTGAGTGTCTGTGAGAACCTGTGCAGTGACAGACAGTTCAGCTCCAGTTTGATTGATGAGTGTGGAGGAGGAGATGGGATACCAGGGTCTGGGTCCCAGGAGGGCTGGGCTAGGAAGCAGATGTGTCCAGCTGTATTAGGGGGCTTTCCCTGCCTGCTGTATTAGGGGGCTTTCCCTGCCTGCTAGCAGCTACTGTGACAACCAGGGCATGACCAGGCAGCACAGGGCAAGGGGCCCCGTGTGAGGGGTGGAAGGGATGACGGGAGACGTCATGTGTGTCAGTCGGTCACGCTTAGTCAGTGTGTAGGAGAATAAGTCTGAGTGGGTGTGTGAGGCTGAGTGTGTGGGTATGTGAGGCTGAGTGAGTGGGTATGTGAGGCTGAGTGAGTGGGTATGTGAGGCTGAGTGAGTGGGTATGTGAGGCTGAGTGAGTGGGTATGTGAGGCTGAGTGTGTGGGTATGTGAGGCTGAGTGTGTGGGTATGTGAGGCTGAGTGTGTGGGTATGTGAGGCTGAGTGTGTGGGTATGTGAGGCTGAGTGAGTGGGTATGTGAGGCTGAGTGTGTGTATGCACGTCTGTTTGTGCATACACACACACTCAGCCTCACTGAACACTGCAGCCTGCTCAGCTCTGCAGGATGGAGGGTTGTTTGTGTTAATAGACCCCCCCATCCCCCCCCACAAGGAAGTGCCCCGAGGTAATAACTCAGATGTGCACAGTGGGGTTCTGTGCTGCTCTCCCTCTCTCCCTCCATCACTCTTTCAACATTCACCCCCCCCCCCCCCCCCCCACGCACACAGACGTTCCATTGTTTCCTTCCCAAGGTGCCCATGGTAAACATATGGTAAATACAGGGTTTCCAGGGGTAAAATACAGGGGCACAAAGACTTGACTGACAGCACATAAACAATTAGGAATGGCTGGGTTCCAGCTGTTCTATTAATGATAGGGTGTTGCACAGCCTGCCTGTTGGCCGGCTAATTATACATTATGGCTTTTTCCTCATCATCAGACTCCTTGGATACTTATCGTCAGCACATATTCAGCAGCTGAGACAGTTGGGTTTCCTGTTTCCGTATACACAATGCCTTGGGAAGGGGGCTGCGATCCCCTAACCCAAATAGCTAGCAGGGCTTATTCCTGTTCCAAGCAGGAGGGCCTAACTTGACTGCTCCCAAAAAAAAAAAAAAAGGGAACAGAAATGCTCATAGTTCTAGCACTCCCACTCTGGCCGAAACCAACATTTATTTAAAGACACAAAACGCCTTAGAAATCATCCTCTTCTCAGTCTAAACGTAGGCTACATAATTCAGAGTGTGGTCAGAGTTGAGCACTGCACTGCACACTAACATGGGATTGCTAATACTCAAGGCAACAGAATGTGTGCCCTGAGGATAGCAGGTCTGGTGTGAGCGAGTACAGGTTTACAGACCTGATGTACGGAACATAACAGTTATTACCTGGAGGAGAGGAAGTGACTAAGAGGCCTGGACACCAGAGGCCTGGACACCAGAGGCCTGGACACCAGAGGCCTGGACACCAGAGGCCTGGACAGAGGGAGCCGTAGCACCACTCAGACAGTCTGTCTGACAGACCACAACAACACTGTCAGAAAGCCACATCATATCACAGAGTCCGACCAGGAAGTGCAGAAGGTTTCAATCCCAGCGTCCACCCTTCCCACTGTTTCTCCTACCTCCAATTTCCTCCCTGTCTGGATAAACGTCAATATACCAAAAACTAAATATAGAGAAAAAGTAGGAACAGGAGGCAGAGAGGCAGGAGGACATGGAGTTGATGACCACATGGATTGATAATGGAGTGGATATTGTGATTGAAACATGTTCTATGTCCTTTTACATAGTAAGAAGAGTGGACTCACTGCACAGGAGTAGGTACTGCAGCACTCTGACCCGCCTGAGTGATGCCACAGGAGCGCTTGTATCGTATGCCAGCAAGCTCACCACACATCACCTAGCTACTGTGATATAGTGGGGTGGTGAGGAAGAATGAATCACGCCATTTCACAAAAGATAATACACTGACTACGGTGAGACGTCAGACATGAGACCAAGCCTTGGGGGTCAGGGTAAGAAGTACAGTTCTGGCGTCACGCAGCGATCCTTTTACTTAATCAAAACACTGCACTAAGGGTGTCTAAGTTAAGAGTGCAGAGGAAAGTGTGCAGGTATGCAGACATACGGATAACCTTTACAGCAGTGGAGGCTCCTCAGAGGAGGAAGGGGAGGATCATCCTACTCAGTGAATTTCAGAAAAATGTAAATAGTCAAACATTTAAAAAAGTTTATCCTTTTTAGATAAAACTAGACTAAATATATTCACGTCACCAAATAACTGATTAAAACCCAATGTTTTGCAATTAAAAGGTCTACAGTTACCTCTACAGCACTCTCTGTGGTAGCACCATGGTGTAGCTGGAGGACAGCTAGCTTCCGTCCTCCTCTGGGTACATTGACTTTAATACAAAACCTAGGAGGCTCATGGTTCTCACCCCCTTCCATAGACTTGCACAGTAATTATGACAACTTTCTTTCTTTTCTTAGTTTAACTTTCACTTACTTAGCTAGCTAATGCAGCTAATTTAGCCTACTCAACAACCTGACTCAAACAGAGAGGAATGCTATTTATGTTAGCTAGCTGGCTAAGGCTATGCAACACTGCAACTCTTCCAAGTCAAGGTAAGCATTCGGTTGGTATTAATTTATTGCCACCGGGGCCTGCCGGTGTTACTGCTAAACTGCTTGCTGTACACTGTACTGCGTGATCGTACACATGGATTGGATTGTGGGTTTACTAACGTGTTAGTTCTAGTTTGTTGATTATAACGTTAATATGGTGACAACGATGTAGGATGTGTAGCTGTTATGGTATGAAGGTTTGGCTTGGTGAGGTCATTGCGCCTGGTCTCAGACAGCTGTTGTGCGGTGCACTGAAGTCCACAAGCGAAGGGATAAGGTGAGAGGATTAGAGTGCATATATCCGAGAAGGAATTATAGAACGAGCGAAGTGATGATGCTGTGTGGCTGCTATAAAAGTGAACTGTGTGTTGCGGGTGATCAGGGGTGTATTCATTCTGCCAATTCTTTTGCATAAAGTTTCTTACAACAGAAGCAAACATAATGAAACGGAGCAGGACCTACCTGAATTTGTCCAATAGAAACTGTTGTTTTAGTTGCAAAAACGTAAAGTTTTGCAACTGTTTGGACTAATGATAAAACCCAAGACCAGCTAGATGCAGGCAAGAGTGTGCAGGGCAGTATTGAATGCGTCACTGTCACCTTGATCACTCCAATTTGTCTCTCGACCTGTGCACCTACGTTATAAACTTTCATTTGTAGGCTAGGTTGTAGCAACCTCATGATGGGTATAGGGAACATTTGAGTATCATGTAGCAGCCTAAACCTATCGATGTTACAATGAGCTGAGTGAATGGAATATGAATGACAGTCATCCAATATGCTGTGATAGAAATAAGGCCATGATCTTAAAAAAATTAAAATAAATAATCCTCTCATCTTAAACGGCACTGACCGCCACGGTTTCATGGCTTTATCAAATAGCCTATCATCTTTAGCATTCATTTATCATTAGAATGTGGCAATAGGACTTTGGTTCAAAACAACTTTTTATCCTCTAATTATTTTTAATCATTGGAAACTATTTACATTAAAATTTTAGGCATTTAACAGACGCTCTTATCCAGAGCGACTTACAGGAGCAATTAGGGTTAAGTGCCTTGCTCAAGGGCACATAGACAGATTTTTCACCTAGTCAGCTCGGGGATTAGAACCAGCGACCTTTCGGTTACTGGCCCAACGCTCTTAACCACTAAGCTACCTGCCGCCCCATTCAGACCTTGCCTCTGTGGTTTTACGACAGCAGCAGCAGCAGTCTTCACTGCAGAGTTCAGACCCGAGGCCTTTTCCTGTCCCAATAAAAGCACACTGTCCTGTCCACTCCTAGTGGAGTGGGATGAATGACATTCCTTCTGGAGGAGGTAACACTTCCACAATTTATCCAACAGCCATTGTGAAGGGCCTGTGTGCTCAGCCCTGCTGTTGCTGTGGGTGATAGGATAGCTAGCTAGCTAGCTGGGACATCCCTACCTTAAATCCTAACCCAAACCAGGAGACGTTCTCAGGAAGCAGCCATTCAAACTTGCCATTCACCAGTTTTTGCAAGGTTAATAATGTCAAATTAGGTTTGGTACTCACCAAAGAATGGAGTGTCGATGAGCAACTATTGTAATTACTGGTGTCCCGGGCCGTATGTTTTTATCCAAAAAAGGACTAAATAAAAAGTTATACGCAGCCGAAAAAAATGCATTTTCTGGAAATAATCTAAGTATTGTTTTTGAGCAAGTGAGCATGCGCCAAATCCACTTTATCTGCACCTCATTACTGCCACCAGAGATCTGTATATAAATGTCTCCGCCCTAACAATGGGAGTCGTTGTCCCAAACGGTTGAAGACAAACGTAGGTCCAAAAATAAGCCCATAGAAACGCATGGGGCTTTAGCCTTCACCTCTCCCTCTCTGCTGCCACAGGTCGACTGATTCAGCAGCAGGAAAGGTCATTTATTTGTTTAATCACGTACAGTGTATGAACGTCATATTAATCTGTTGTTTCACCCTCGCTACACGGAATGCTATAATATTTCATGTAAGTACATGAAGTAGCCAATATAGGACATGTTTTTACAGTGATGGTATATTTCTAGATGGGCTTTATTTAGTGTGTATTTTAATTCCATTATTTATATCGCAGGATGTGCAGATGAGGTGGATTTGGCGCATGCGCACTTGCTCAAAAACATTACTTAGATCCAGAAAAGGCATTTATTTGGTTGCATGTAACTTTATTTTGACCTTTTCTGGAAGTACATGCGGCCGGGATGGCAGTAATGACGATAGTTGCTTAGCAAAACTCCATTCTTTGGTAAGTACCGAACGTATTCTGCCATGATTAAGCTTGAAAAGCTGGTGAATGGCTGCTTCCTGGGCTTAAAGGGATACTTTGGGATTTTGGCAATGAGACCCTATGTATACATACAGTTGAAGTCGGAAGTTTACATACCCTTAGGTTATGATCATTAAAACTCGTTTTTCAACCACTACACAAATGTCTTGTTAACAAACTATAGTTTTGGCAAGTCGGTTAGGACATCTACTTTGTGCATGACAAGTAATTTTTCCAACAATTGTTTACAGACAGATTATTTCACTTATAATTCACTGTATCACAATTCCAGTGGGTCAGAAGTTTACATACACTAAGTTGATTGTGCCTTTAAACAGCTTGGAAAATTCCAGAAAATGATGTCATGGCTTTAGAAGCTTCTGATAGGCTAATTGACATAATTTGAGTCAATTGGAGGTGTACCTGTGGATGTATTTCAAGGCCTACCTTCAAACTCAGTGCCTCTTTGCTTGACATCATGGGAAAATCAAAAGAAATCAGCCAAAATTTGTAGACCTCCACAAGTCTGGTTCATCCTTGGGAGCAATTTCCAAACGCCTGAAGGTACCACGTTCATCTGTACAAACAATAGTATGCAAGTCTAAACACCATGGGACCACACAGCCATCATACCGCTCAGGAAGGAGACGCGTTCTGTCTCCTAGAGATGAACGTACATTGGTGCTGGAGGAAACAGGTACAAAAGTATCTATATCCACAGTAAAACGAGTCCTATATCGACATAACCTGAAAGGCCGCTCAGCAAGGAAGAAGCCACTGCTCCAAAACCTCCATAAAAAAGACAGACTACGGTTTGCAACTGCACATGGGGACAAAGATCTTACTTTTTGGAGAAATGTCCTCTGGTCTGATGAAACAAAAATAGAACTGTTTGCCCATAATGACCATCGTTATGTTTGGAGGGAAAAGGGGGACCTTGCAAGCCGAAGAACACCATCCCAACCATGAAGCAAGGGGGTGGCAGCATCATGCTGTGGGGGCGCTTTGCTGCAGGAGGGACTGGTGCACTTCACAAAGTGTTAAACAAAATAAAATATATGTTATACTTGAGATTCTTCAAATAGCCACCATTTGCTTTGATGACAGCTTTGCACACTCTTGGCATTCTCTCAACCAGCTTCACCTGGAATGCTTTTCCAACAGTCATGAAGGAGTTCCCACATTCGCTGAGCACTTGTAGGCTGCTTTTCCTTCACTCTGTGGTCCGACTCGTCCCAAACCATCACAATTGGGTTGAGGTCGGGGGATTGTGGAGGCCAGGTCATCTGATGCAGCACTCCATCACTCTCCTTCTTGGTAAAATAGCCCTTACACAGCCTGGAGGTGTGTTGGGTCATTGTCCTGTTGAAAAACAAATGATAGTCCCACTAAGCCCAAACCTGATGGGACGGCATATCGCTGCAGAATGCTGTGGTAGCCATGCTGGTTAAGTGTGTCTTGAATTCATAATAAATCACAGACAGTGTCACCAGCAAAGCACCCCCACACCATAACACCACCTCCTCCATGTTTTACGTTGGGAACTTCACATGCGGAGATCATCCGTTCACCCACACCGCGTCTCACAAAGCCAAGGCGGCTGGAACCAAAAATCTCCAATTTGGACTCCAGACCACAGGACAAATTTCCACCGGTCTAATGGCCATTGCTCGTGTTTCTTGGCCCAAGCAATTATCTTCTTCTTATTGGTGTCCTTTAGTAGTGGTTTATTTGCAGCAATTCGACCATGAAGGCCTGATTCACACAGTCTCCTCTGAAAAGTTGATGTTGAGATGTGTCTGTTACTTGAACTCTGTGAAGCATTTATTTGGGCTGCAATTTCTGAGGCTGGTAACTCTAATGAACTTATCCTCTGCAGCAGAGGTAACTCTGGGTCTTCCATTCCAGTGGCGGTCCTCATGAGAGCCAGTTTCATCATAGCGCTTGATGGTTTTTGCGACTGCACTTGAATAAACTTTAAAAGTTCTTAAAATGTCCCGTATTGACTGACCTTCATGTCTTAACCTCCCGAGTGGCGCAGTGGTCTAAGGCACTGCATCACAGTGCTAGCTGTGCCACTAGAGATCCTGGTTTGAATCCAGGCTCTGTCGTAGCCGGCCGCGACCGGGAGACCCATGGGGCGGCGCACAATTGGCCTAGCGTCGTCCAGGGTAGGGGAGGGAATGGCCGGCAGGGATGTAGCTCAGTTGGTAGAGCATGGCGTTTGCAACGCCAGGGTTGTGGGTTTGATTCCCACAGGGGGCCAGTATGAAAAATACAAAAAATAATGTATGCACTCACTAACTGTAAGTCGCTCTGGATAAGAGCGTCTGCTAAATGACTAAAATGTAAATGTTAAAGTAATGATGGACTGTTGTTTCTCTTTGCTTATTTGAGCTGTTCTTGACATAATATGGACTTGATATTTTACCAAATAGGGCTATCTTCTGTATATCCCCCCCTACCTTGTCAAAACACAATTGTTTGGCTCAAACGCATGAGGAAAAAAATGCCACAAATTACCTTTTAAGAAGGCACAGATGTTAATTGAAATGTATTCCAGGTGACTATCTTATGAATCTGATTGAGAGAATGCCAAGAGTGCACAAAGCTGTCATCAAGGCAAAGGGTGGCTATTTGAAGAATCTCAAATATATTTTGATTTGATTAACACTTTTTTGGTTACTACATGATTCCATGTGTGTTATTTTATAGTTTTGATGTCTTCACTATTATTCTACAATGTAAATAAATAGTAAAAAATAAAGAAAAACCCTTGAATGAGTAGGTGTGTCCAAACTTTTGACTGGTAATATATATATATACACACACACATACACATACACACACACACACAGTGGGGAGAATAAGTATTTGATACACTGCCGATTTTGCAGGTTTTCCTACTTACAAAGCATGTAGAGGTCTGTAATTTTTATCATAGGTACACTTCAACTGTGAGAGACGGAATCCAGAAAATCACATTGTATGATTTTTAAGTAATTAATTTGCATTTTATTGCATGACATAAGTATTTGATACATCAGAAAAGCAGAACTTAATATTTGGTACAGAAACCTTTGTTTGCAATTACAGAGATCATACGTTTCTTGTAGGTCTTGACCAGGTTTGCACACACTGCAGCAGGGATATTGTCCCATTCCTCCATACAGACCTTCTCCAGATCCTTCAGGTTTCGGGGCTGTCGCTGGGCAATACGGACTTTCAGCTCCCTCCAAAGATTTTCTATTGGGTTCAGGTCTGGAGACTGGCTAGGCCACTCCAGGACCTTGAGATGCTTCTTACGGAGCCACTCCTTAGTTGCCCTGGCTGTGTGTTTCGGGTCGTTGTCATGCTGGAAGACCCAGCCACGACCCATCTTCAATGCTCTTACTGAGGGAAGGAGGTTGTTGGCCAAGATCTCGCGATACATGGCCCCATCCATCCTCCCCTCAATACGGTGCAGTCGTCCTGTCCCCTTTGCAGAAAAGCATCCCCAAAGAATGACGTTTCCACCTCCATGCTTCACGGTTGGGATGGTGTTCTTGGGGTTGTACTCATCCTTCTTCTTCCTCCAAACACGGAGCGTGGAGTTTAGACCAAAAAGCTCTATTTTTGTCTCATTAGACCACATGACCTTCTCCCATTCCTCCTCTGGATCATCCAGATGGTCATTGGCAAACTTCAGACGGGCCTGGACATGCGCTGGCTTGAGCAGGGGGACCTTGCGTGTGCTGCAGGATTTTAATCCATGACGGCGTAGTGTGTTACTAATGGTTTTCTTTGAGACTGTGGTCTCAGCTCACTTCAGGTCATTGATCAAGTCCTGCCGTGTAGTTCTGGGCTGATCCCTCACCTTCCTCATGATCATTGATGCCCCACGAGGTGAGATCTTGCATGGAGCCCCAGACCGAGGGTGATTGACCGTCATCTTGAACTTCTTCCATTTTCTAATAATTGTGCCAACAGTTGTTGCCTTCTCACCAAGCTGCTTGCCTATTGTCCTGTAGCCCATCCCAGCCTTGTGCAGGTCTACAATTGTATCCCTGATGTCCTTACACAGTTCTCTGGTCTTGGCCATTGTGGAGAGGTTGGAGTCTGTTTGATTGAGTGTGTGGACAGGTGTCTTTTATACAGGTAACAAGTTCAAACAGGTGCAGATAATACAGGTAATGAGTGGAGAACAGGAGGGCTTCTTAAAGAAAAACGAACAGGTCTGTGAGAGCCGGAATTCTTACTGGTTGGTAGGTGATCAAATACTTATGTCACGCAATAAAATGCAAATTAATTACTTAAAAATCATACAATGTGATTTTCAGGATTTTTGTTTTAGATTCCGTCTCTCACAGTTGAAGTGTACCTATGATACAAATTACAGACCTCTACATGCTTTGTAAGTAGGAAAACCTGCAAAATTGGCAGTGTATCAAATACTTGTTCTCCCCACTGTATATGCAAAAAAATGTATGGGGGATTGGAAGTGAAGCAGACAATTACATTGATGGAAGCTACAACCTATCTGCAATATTAAAGCTGGGTGCTGTGTATTGTGATAGTTCGCTAGCGGGGTGCTGTGTATTGTGATAGATAGCTAGCTGGGTGATGTGTATTGTGATAGATAGCTAGCTGGGTGCTGTGTATTGTGATAGATAGCTAGCTGGGTGCTGTGTATTGTGATAGTACGCTAGCTGGGTGCTGTGTATTGTGACAGTCAGCTAGCTGGGTGCTGTGTATTGTGATAGTACGCTAGCTGGGTGCTGTGTATTGTGATAGTACGCTAGCTGGGTGATGTGTATTGTGATTGATAGCTAGCTGGGTGCTGTGTATTGTGATAGTTCGCTAGCTGGGTGCTGTGTATTGTGATAGTTCGCTAGCTGGGTGCTGTGTATTGTGATAGTTCGCTAGCTGGGTGCTGTGTATTGTGATAGATAGACAGCTGGGTGATGTGTATTGTGATAAATAGCTAGCTGGGTGCTGTGTATTGAGACAGGGCGGCAGGTAGCTTAGTGGGTAAGAGCGTTGTGCCAGTAACCGAAAGGTCGCTGGTTCTAATCCCCAAGCTGACTAGGTGAAAAATCTGTCGATGTGCCCTTAAGCAAGGCACTTAACCCTAATTGCTCCTGTAAGTCGCTCTGGATAAGAGCGTCTGCTAAATGACAAAAAAAAAAAAAAAAAACCATTGCCTAAGTGTGATCAGTTGAGATGAGATTTGGGATATTTGAAGAGCAGCCACAACAGTTTAAATAAATACACTTAGGCAAAATGGCTTCCACCATTTTAATGTAGTCAACTGGATGGGACGTCCAACTTCATTGGCTGATCCCTCCTGGTGAACCTGTTGGAGTCATGTCCAACCGCATCATCAGGAGGGATCAGCCAATAGTAAAGAAGAAAATTGACTACTTCAAAATGGAGATTGCATCAACGGAGCTGGCCATGCTGTCACAGACAATCGAATAGCACAGATACAAAGATGAGTCTTCTGTCTATCTCTATGGGGAGAAGAGATCAGTGTGGGTTTCCAAAATGGCTCCTTCTTGGTCGTCACTAGTTACCACAGCCACAAAGTCATAAACCCTGCCTATTTCTACAATTTATCTTCTTAAAATGTGATTTAAAAACTAACCTTAACCCTAACCACACTGCTAACCTTATGCCTAATCTTAAATTAAGACCAAAAAGCTAAAAGAAAATCATGAATGTTTAGGATATAGACAATTTTGACTTTGTGTTTGTGCCATCTAGTGGAAACCCTAATTCTTGGGTCATGGGCTTGATTACTGGGACCAGGCTTGGTGAATTGGGTTGGTAGGTCACCAGATAACTCCAAAGCTTTAGTTGTTAACCACCGATGAGGTGTGGGGTTGGGGCTAGTGTTTTAGCCATGTGTGACTGGTGCTGGTTGGATAGCGGAGAGATGCACATGGATATAGGAGGTAAGTGTAATGTGATGTCATCCCCACCTCAATGGTCTTCCTCTTGATCTTCCTCTGCTGCTCCAGGCGTTCCTTCTCCTTGTCCACGGTACGGGTCGACTCCCTCAGTCTCTCCAGATCCTGTTGGTATGTCTCTCTCTGCCTCTCCAGCTCCTCCCTGTCTTCCGCCAGCTTCTCCTCCAGCCTCCTGCACTCCTCCTCTCTCTGCCTCAGCCTCGCCTCCATGTCCTCGGCCTGCAGCCGGTGGCGCTGACGCTCCTTCTCCCAGCGAGCCTGGGGACAAACACAAGGTTCAACTCTACTTCACGCAGACGGGTATAGTGTCTTTTTGCTTCGGAGTGGCTGCGGTTCTGGATTTTCTGGAACCCGAAAATGTTCTGTGGCTAAGGATACTGAGATTTCTGCGCATTTGCAGGATTTTTTGTTGTTTTGAAGGCATCAAATAGTTGCTTATTGAAACTCCCAAAGTCATCCAATTGTTATATTATATAATACATTTGAAGCAATAGCCTAGCCGTGGGTGGTCAACTATTTCAGCACCGTTTCGCGCTGCTTTTAGACAAGCGTGGGGGCTCGTCTTAATAAATCAATACATTTTTTTTCACTAAATCTCCGTTTGGATATTGGTTAGGCTACCATTAGGCTGTGGAAATGCTAAGTTGATGTGAGTGTTGCTCATAATCACCTTGTCTAGTCGGCTCAATTATTAGCACTGATTAGCACACATTTTGCCAGAATGTTAAAATGTAGTTTAGCAAGTGGATTATTTTGCTCTTGACTCGCAGTTGCTTAGTAACCTAGGCTCCTGACCAAAAGCCTGTGTCTTAAATCAATCAATGTGATTTTGTTTCACTGAATCTCAAATCTGTATATTTTGTTAATTCCCTGGCTGGGCAAATAAGTGGAGGTGGTATAGTTCATCTGTCACTGATCAGAAACATTTAGCGTGCTATAATGTAGCCTAAATCAAGTGTAGGTCTATTATTTTGGCTTGATCGCATAAAAAGGCAACTCCAAAATCCTGCGGAGGTTGTGAAATATGATCACTAGACTCACATGCTTTTGAAAATATAGATTGTTATTATATTCTCTGGGTATCATGATGAATACACTCACGCATGCTCCCTAACAAAGCGGAGTGATGGTAGGAAAGAAGACACTTGGATCCAAAGCATGGGCTTGTCTTGGGCTCAGTTTCAAAATATCACCTTCTTATTATTTTTGGGGACAGCGGTTCCACACGTTGCCGTGACGCAAGTTGTGTGGGGAAAAATATTATTTGTATTTGATTGTTATATTTCCTTATATTCTTAGCCTACTATAAAATGTGGTTTGACTGTGATCAGGGCAGCCTACGAGTTTGTTAGTTTAATGAACTGTTGATTTCATTAGCATTGCACAGCCATGTAGCATATAGTCTGTACAGACCAGTAGCAACATTCAACTCAAAATATGACATTCCATTATTTTGAACAAGAAATGATCATGATGATCATGTTAACGTGCTTCCTTTCTTCTAGCATTGTGACGTTGAATCATCTGCACGGCAGAGCTGTGATGAAGACGACCTGGAAGGCTACTATGGAATCAAATGAAGGATGCTTCCATTTCCACTGATTCCCACCCCCACCTGCTCCTGACGGTGCTGCGACTGCAGCTTGTGGAAGCTGGCCATCTCTTCCCTCTGCAGGACCAGAGTCCTCTGTTTCTCCTGCTCCAGGAGCACGTTGCCGCGGTGACGGCCAGGGAAGGAGGCGCGCTCGTTGAGGGAGGCGCGTTGCAGCTCGATGTAGCTGTCCTGCTGGGCGATGATGGCCTGAAGGGGGGGGGGGGGGAGAGGAGAGGGGAGGAGAGATGTGGGTCAACTTCTAGAAAGCGTAAGGCTTGTGGTCACAGACCATAACCAATCAAAAGGCGAGTCTAGCAGTCTCCATGTGATGTCATTTTAACGTGTGTTGACATGCAGACAGACAGGTTTTGGTGTCTAGGCCTGGTAAGTATGGAAGACTTCAGTAACGTTGATGTTCATGGCCCAGTCACACACACAGACAGGACAGGAGAACTACATGCAGTCCCGTTGATTGTTCATGGCCCAGTCACACACACACAGACAGGACAGGACAGGAGGAGAGCTACATTCTAGCATGTATGTGGAGTATGAGCAGTTAAGTGGATGTGGAGAGGTTGTCGAGAGGCTATCTAGGGAAACGTGAGTGTATCTAGGGAAACGTGAGTGTATCTAGGGAAACGTGAGTGTATCTAGGGAAACGTGAGTGTATCTAGGGAAACGTGAGTGTATCTAGGGAAACGTGAGTGTATCTAGGGAAACGTGAGTGTATCTAGGGAAACGTGAGTGTATCTAGGGAAACGTGAGTGTATCTAGGGAAACGTGAGTGTATCTAGGGAAACGTGAGTGTATCTAGGGAAACGTGAGTGTATCTAGGGAAACGTGAGTGTATCTAGGGAAACGTGAGTGTTGCGGTTTTGTTTACCTGCAGGCTGTAGAGTCTCTGGGACAGCATCAGCACCCGGTCAAAGAACTGGTTAAGGCAGAAACAGGAACGTTAGGAAAGAGAACGTCAACAGACAACTCTAGGTTAGTGCCAGAGACATACAACTGTTTTATACCTATGGTTTGGACACTCTTGGTACACCTTTTAGAGGCCATAATAAAACATGAGGATTGAAGAAGTTTAACAGAGGTTAAAATCCCAAATGAAACGAGCACATCTCCTACCTCAGCCTCAGGGAAGGTGTTGGACCAGATGGTGTTCCAGATGGCTGGAGAGGCCTCTTCCTCCTCCTCATCATCATCATCATCATCAGCCTGTACATCACACAACATTACACATTTTATGACATATCCCATCAGGGATTAAAGTACATATTGATATTAACCTTCACGTGTGATGAGACATAAATCATAACAGGAAGCAGTAGCATTTCCCTAAATAGGAAATTCCTAAGTGATGGAGTAAACCAGCTTCTGCCTTGCCCTAGTCACTAGCTACCCTACTGACTATTGTGTAGGGTGTGTGTGTGTGTGTGTGTGTGTGTGTGTGTGTACTTCACCCACCTGTGCCTGCTCCAGGGTCTGGCTAGCCTGGATCTTCTTAAGCTGGGGGTCAGAGCGGCCTTTCTGGTTCCCGTCTCTGGCCTTGTCCCCTCCACTGTGGATCTTCTTCACAATGCCTTCTAACATGCACACACAGACAGAAACGCCTTTTAGATCATAATAAATGATTATATGGACAGCTATTACATCAGCATTCCTGCTCTGAGATGCTTTGTGGATACAGCCCAGAGCAGAGTGGACTCACTCTTGTTGAGGATGATGGGGCTGCTGTCATAGCCCCCAAAGGTGTCTGCTCTCCTGGGCAGAGCCCCGGACCCTGAGCCCTCCGCTGGACGTGGAGCTGGCTCGATCACACCAGAGAGCAACAGGTTCTGAAGACTCTCCACTGGGGAGGGGGAGGCAGGAGAGGAGGAGAGAGAGGAAGAAGACAGAGGAGAGAGAGAGAGAAGAGGAGAGAGTAGAGAGAGAGAAATGAGAGAGGTCTAGTAGATGAGGCATAGAGAGAGAGAGATGGATTTAACCTTTTAAAGGCTGTCTTAAGTAGTGACAAGTATAGTGAGGAGCTGACCCCCCTATAGTAACATAGTGAGGAGCTGACCCCCTCTATAGTAACATAGTGAGGAGCTGACCCCCCTATAGTAACATAGTGAGGAGCTGACCCCCCTATAGTAACATAGTGAGGAGCTGACCCCCTCTATAGTAACATAGTGAGGAGCTGACCCCCCTATAGTAACATAGTGAGGAGCTGCCCCCTCTATATAACATAGTGAGAGCTGACCCCCTTATATATACAATATGAGGACCCCTATTAACATTAGATTCTGCCTGATATCTTTGGGATACACCCCCAGAACATAGTGGACTCACCCTTGTAGATGAGTGGGGCGCTGCAACCCCCAAACAAGGGGCTGCCCCCTCTTGCAAAGCCCGGACCCTGAGCCCTCCCTGACTGGAGCTGGCTCAATACACATGAGAGCACAGTTCTTGAAGACTCCCCCATCTGGGGCGACCTGGAGTCAGGAGGAGGATAGAAGAAGAGGAGCGATAGTAAAGATGGAGTCCTTAGTAGACAAGAGGAGGATGATTAATAATGTTTAAGGCTGACCCTAAGATAGACAAGATAGTGAGGAGCTGACCCCCCTATAGAAACATAGTGAGGAGCTGACCCCCCTATAGTAACATAGTGAGGAGCTGACCCCCTATAGTAACATAGTGAGGAGCTGACCCCTCCTATAGTAACATAGTGAGGAGCTGACCCCCCTATAGTAACATAGTGAGGAGCTGACCCCCTCTATAGTAACATAGTGAGGAGCTGACCCCCCTATAGTAACATAGTGAGGAGCTGACCCCCCTATAGTAACATAGTGAGGAGCTGACCCCCCTCTATAGTAACATAGTGAGGAGCTGACCCCCCTATAGTAACATAGTGAGGAGCTGACCCCCCTAATAGTAACATAGTGAGGAGCTGACCCCCCTATAGTAACGTAGTGAGGAGCTGACCCCCCTATAGTAACATAGTGAGGAGCTGACCCCCCCTATAGTAACATAGTGAGGAGCTGACCCCCCTATAGTAACGTAGTGAGGAGCTGACCCCCCTATAGTAACGTAGTGAGGAGCTGACCCCCCTATAGTAACATAGTGAGGAGCTGACCCCCCTATAGTAACATAGTGAGGAGCTGACCCCCTATAGTAACATAGTGAGGAGCTGACCCCCCTATAGTAACATAGTGAGGAGCTGACCCCCCTATAGTAACATAGTGAGGAGCTGACCCCCCTATAGTAACATAGTGAGGAGCTGACCCCCTCTATAGTAACATAGTGAGGAGCTGACCCCTAAATAGGAGGAGGACCCCCCTATAGTAACATAGTGAGGAGCTGACCCCCCTATAGTAACATAGTGAGGAGCTGACCCCCCCTATAGTAACACAGTGAGGAGTGACCCCCTATAGTAACACAGTGAGGAGCTGACCCCCCTATAGTAACATAGTGAGGAGCTGACCCCCCTATAGTAACACAGTGAGGAGCTGACCCCCTATAGTAACACAGTGAGGAGCTGACCCCCCTATAGTAACATAGTGAGGAGCTGACCCCCTATAGTAACATAGTGAGGAGCTGACCCCCCCTATAGTAACATAGTGAGGAGCTGACCCCCCTATAGTAACATAGTGAGGAGCTGACCCCCTCTATAGTAACATAGTGAGGAGCTGACCCCCCTATAGTAACATAGTGAGGAGCTGACCCCCCTATAGTAAACATAGTGAGGAGCTGACCCCCCCTATAGTAACATAGTGAGGAGCTGACCCCCCTATAGTAACATAGTGAGGAGCTGACCCCCCTATAGTAACATAGTGAGGAGCTGACCCCCCTATAGTAACATAGTGAGGAGCTGACCCCCCTATAGTAACATAGTGAGGAGCTGACCCCCCTATAGTAACATAGTGAGGAGCTGACCCCCCCTATAGTAACATAGTGAGGAGCTGACCCCCCTATAGTAACATAGTGAGGAGCTGACCCCCCTATAGTAACATAGTGAGGAGCTGACCCCCCTATAGTAACATAGTGAGGAGTTTTTTTTTTCTTTCTCATCAATCTACACACAATACCCCATAACGACAAAGTAAAAACAGGTTTTTAGACATTTTTGCACAACAAAAACTGAAATATTTAATTTACATAAGTTGTCTTTGGCAGCGATTACAGCCTGGTGTCTTCTTGGCTATGTCCCTACAAGCTTGGCACACATGTATTGGGGGAGTTTCTCCCAGATCCTCTCAAACTCTGTCAGGTTGGATGGGGAGCGTCGCTGCACAGCTATTTTCAGGTCTCTCCACCAAAGGCCTGATTGGTGGAGTGCTGCAGAGATGGTTGTCCTTCTGGAAGGTTCTCCCATCTCCACAGAGGAACTCTAGAGCTCTGTCAGAGTGACTATCGGGTTCTTGGTCACCTCCCTGACCAAGGACCTTCTCCCCCGATAGCTCACTTTGGCCGGGCGGCCAGCTCTAGGAAGAGTCTTGGTGGTTCTAAACTTCTTCCATTTAAGAATGATGGAGGCCACTGTGTTCTTGGGGACCTTCAATGCTGAATAAATGTTTAGGTACCCTTCCCCAGATCTGTGCGTCGACACAATCCTGTCTCGGAGCTCTACAGACAATTCCTTCGACCTCATGGCTTGGTTTTTGCTCTGACATGCACTGTCAACTGAGGGACCTTATATAGACAGGTGTGTGCCTTTCCAAATCATGTCCAATCAATTGAATTTACCACAGGTGGACTCCAATAATCAAGTTGTAGAAACATCTCAAGGATGACCAATGGAAACAGGATCCACCTGGGCTAAATTTTGAGTCTCATAGCAAAGAGTCTGAATATTTATGTAAATAAGGTATCTGTTTATTTGTAATACATTTGCAAACATTTCTAAAAGCCTGTTTTCTCTTTGTCATTATGGGGTTTTGTGTGTAGATTGATGAAGATTTCTATTTATTTAATCAATTTTAGAATAAAGCTGTAACGTAACAAAATGTGGAAAAATTCAAGGGGTCTGAAAACTTTCAGAATTCACTGTAAATAAAGAGTGATTTGATTTCAATGATTTGTGAATAAGTTTAATCATATCTTATGTTGTTCTCAGCTAGAGCCAGAACCGTATACACTATAACAGCAGCCATTGTATTTTACCTTCAGTGAAGTGCTGTCTGTATATTCTGGACTGTCCTGTGTTGTGTGTTTCCTGTGTTGTACCTTGTGTGTGTGTATATAAGTGTGTGTAAGTGTGTGTGTAAGTGTGTATAAGAGTGTGTAAGTAAGTGTGTGGTGTGTGTGTGTGTAAGTGTGTGGTGTGTGTGTGTGTGTGTGTGTGTGTGTGTGTGTGTGTGTGTGTGTAAGTGGTGTGTAAGTGTGTTGTGTGTAAGTGTGGTGTAGTGTGTTAAGTGTGGTGTGTGTGTGTAAGTGTGTGTGTTGTAGTGTTGTTAGTGTGTGTAAGTGTCGTGTGGTGTGTGTGTTGTGTAAGTGTGTGTGGTGTGTAGTGTGTGTGTGTAAGTGTTGTGTGCGTGTGTTAGTGTGCGTGTGTAAGTGTGTGTGTGTGTGGTGTAAGTGTGTGGTGTGTGTAAGTTTTGCTGTGTGTGTGTAAGTAGTGTGTGTGTGTGTGTGTGTGTGTGTGTGTGTGTGTGTGTGTGTGTTAGTGTGTGTGTGTTGTGTGTGTGTGTTGTGTGTGTGTGTGTGTGGTGTGGTGTGTGTGGGTGTGTGTGTTGTGTGTGTGTGCGTGTGTGTTAGTGTGTGTGTGTGTTGTGTGTGTGTGTGTGTGTGTGTGTGTTGTGTTGTGTGTGTGTGTGTGTGTGTGTTGTGTGTGATGTGTGTGTGTGTGTGTTGTAAGTTGTGTTGTGGTAGTGTGTGTGTGTACGTGTGTAAGTGTGTGTTGTAGTGTGTCGTGTGTCCGTGTGTACCGTGTGGTTTCGTGTAAGTGTGTGTTCCGTGTGTCGTTGTGGCTGTGTTAAGTGTGTGTTGTGTGTAACCGGTGTTGTTTGTGTCGTGTAGTGTGTCGCGTGTGTCGTGTGCGCGTGTGTCAAGAGTATATGAGTGGAGTGAGGCGTGCTCAATTTGACTGGAGCGCTGAGCAAGTCTCCCCAAAGGCTGTAGCGTCGACCTTCTCCCCCGCTGCTATTTGGCACCACCAGCTCAGGGCGTGCCCGGCCCAGCATGCTCTTGCTTTAGCTACTGTTTTCAAAAAGAAGCAGACAGGTGTAAAATCAAGGTGATGGGTTTTTAGCAACCCCAGTGACTCTGCAGTGGTATTCTCCACTGATCTCCACTTTTTTTGTTGTTGTTTTATTTTTACTTTTTTTGTTAAAATAAATGCACTGTTGGTTAAGGGCTGTAAGTAAGCATTTCACTGTAATGTCTGCACCTGTTGTATTCGGCGCATGTGACCAATAACATTTGATTTGATTTGATCTCCAGGCACCATCGATGAGCCTGAAGCCATAGACTCTATCCAAACTCGTATTTCTAAAAAATGAATTCAAAAGGCACTGTAGATGGAGCCTAATAAGTCATTTTTTGTTTAATTTGTAATTAATTCTAAGTGAGTCAGAGTCTATATGTGCAATTTACAGACTATAATGATTTAATACAACAAAATGTTGTTTAAATGCTGAGTGCTTAATGTCCCTGCCAGCCTAGTGTGTCGCTCTCGCAAATGCTCCACAATTGATTTGTTTGTTGGCTATAGCCTTGAAATAACTGAAATAATATCGCCTAAATAATTCTTTTTCGTTCCTTCTTAGGCTCCCTGTCTGTCTCCTGACCTATTTAGAGTGTTTACATGCTGTTTAATACGACGTGTAGCCTATTTGAAATGATGAGCGCTTCTTACAGTCACCTTTTCATGTTGTTTATTAAAATACTCTGGGGTGCAAGCACCACTCCATGAGCGGGATATCCGACCACTCACATACTCTGGTGTGTGTGTGTGGGTGTGTGTGTGTGTGTGTGTGTGTGTGTGTGTGTGTGTTGTACCATCGGTGATGGCTCCCTTGAGCAGTGTCTCCCCCTGGTGGAGGTCTGAGGCGTCACCTCGCAGCAGCAGGTGGGAGCGGCAGGCCGTATCCCCAGGACCAGACTCTCCCATGTCTGAAAACAGCTGCAGCTTCTCTGTCAGATCCGCCACGATCTGGCCGTCCTTCTGGCTCAGACGCACTGGGAGAGGAGACACAGAGAAAGGAAGAGAGAGTTCTCCTAATTACATGAATTGCCAGGAATAGAAACATTGAAGGTGAATGTTGACTGGCGTATGACCACCGCCTCGTGCCCTAGCATCAACATGACTCGATTACAGAAAGACGAGGCCATTGGTCTGTCGTTGTAAGTTACCTTGGAACTCTTTGAATCTGGCGGCTCGAGCCTCCTCCTCCTCCTCACTGAAGAGTCTCTCCTCAGTGTGTGGACAACTGGAGAGAGAGAGAGAGAGGGAGAGGGAGAGGGAGAGGGAGAGGGAGAGGGAGAGAGAGGGAGAGACACACAGACAGAGAGACAGAGAGAGAGAGAGAGAGACACACAGACAGAGAGAGAGAGAGAGAGAGAGAGAGAGAGAGGAGAGAGAGAGAGAGAGAGAGAGAGAGGTGAGTTAGCTAGGACTCAATGCCTTGGGTTTAGATACAAAGCAGTGTTTCTCAACTCCAGTCCTGGGGATCAACTGTGTATCGAGGTTCTCTTTTCAACCACTTAGTCCCATTGAGGAGCAGTATTATAACCACCTGATGTTATACAGTATGTTCAGGTCCCATTGAGGAGCAGTATTATAACCACCTGATGTTATACAGTATGTTCAGGTCCCATTGAGGAGCAGTATTATAACCACCTGATGTTATACAGTATGTTCAGGTTCCATTGAGGAGCAGTATTATAACCACCTGATGTTATACAGTATGTTCAGGTCCCATTGAGGAGCAGTATTATAACCACCTGATGTTTTATATTACATTTTACATTTTAGTCATTTTGCAGACGCTCTTATCCAGAGCGACTTACAGTTAGTGAATACATTTTTTTTAATTTTTTTTATACTGCCCCCCCCCCGTGGGAATCAAAACCACAACCCTGGCGTTGCAAACGCCACGCTCTATCAACTGAGCTACATCCCTGCCGGCCATTCCCTACCCTACCCTGGACGACGCTGGGCCAATTGTGCGCCGCCCCATGAGTCTCCCGGTCGCGGCCGGCTGCGACAGAGCCTGGATTCCAACCAGGATCTCTAGTGGCACAGTTAGCACTGCGATGCAGTGCCTTAGACCACTGCGCCACTCAGGAGTACAAGTACAGTATGTTCAGCTGGAGTGAAAGATGGTTGTTAGGCACAGCGCCACACGGTCTCTCACCAGCTATATGGTGGTGCTGGGAGTTGAAGACCCAGACCTCACACAAGATGACCTCTGCCAGAGTAGTTGGGTCTGTGACCATGTACAAGACATCCCATGACTGCCACATCTTGTAAAAGGTCATGAGAATGAAATGGCAACATTAAATGCCACAGGCCAGGCAGAGGTAATGACGTGTTTTAATGAGCTGGGATCGTATCCACAAAGCATTTCAGAGTAGGAGTGCTGATCTAGGACCAGTTTTGCCTTTTAGATCATTATGAATAACATTATATGGACAGGTGAGGATCTGACCCTAGGTCAGCACTCCTACTCTGAGGTGCTTTGTGGATACACAAATGGGTCCTCAATGCTGCATCAACACCTGTGAAGGAGCTGTATGGTTGAGAGCTGTACGAACGGGCAGGACTTTTCACCGTGCCGACCCAAACTAAGCAGAGACTCTTGATAAAAGTTATTTTCAGCACGGTTCCAATAAATGTGGTGGCTGCGTAACCAGTCCAGCTTGGTTCGGTTCGGCTCAGTAGTGTGAAAAGCCCTTAAGTGTTTAACACTGGAGAGAAAGAGTGGACGAGCAAGAGGGAAGGAGATAGGGCTGGGTGATATATAGAAGGGGGAAGGAGATAGGGCTGGGTGATATATAGAAGGGGGAAGGAGATAGGGCTGGGTGATATATAGAAGGGGGAAGGAGATAGGGCTGGGTTATATATAGAAGAGGGAAGGAGATAGGGCTGGGTGATATATAGAGAGGGAAGGAGATAGGGCTGGGTGATTATAGAAGGGGGGAAGGAGATAGGGCTGGGTGATATATAGAAGAGGGAAGGAGATAGGGCTGGGTGATATATAGAAGAGGGAAGGAGATAGGGCTGGGTTGATATATAGAAGGGGAAGGAGATAGGGCTGGGTGATATATAGAAGGGGGGAGGAGATAGGGCTGGGTGAATATAGAAGGGGGAAGGAGATAGGGCTGGGTGATATATAGAAGAGGGAAGGAGATAGGGCTGGGTGATATATAGAAGAGGGAAGGAGATAGGGCTGGGTGATATATAGAAGGGGGAAGGAGATAGGGCTGGGTTATATATAGAAGAGGGAAGGAGATAGGGCTGGGTGATATATAGAAGGGGGAAGGAGATAGGGCTGGGTGATATATAGAAGAGGGAAGGAGATAGGGCTGGGTGATATATAGAAGAGGGAAGGAGATAGGGCTGGGTGATATACAGAAGAGGGAAGGAGATAGGGCTGGGTGATATACAGAAGAGGGAAGGAGATAGGGCTGGGTGATATATAGAAGGGGGAAGGAGATAGGGCTGGGTGATATATAGAAGGGGGAAGGAGATAGGGCTGGGTGATATATAGAAGGGGGAAGGAGATAGGGCTGGGTGATATATAGAAGAGGGAAGGAGATAGGGCTGGGTGATATATAGAAGAGGAAGGAGATAGGGCTGGGTGATATATAGAAGGGGGAAGGAGATAGGGCTGGGTGATATATAGAAGAGGGAAGGAGATAGGGCTGGGTGATATATAGAAGAGGGAAGGAGATAGGGCTGGGTGATATATAGAAGAGGGAAGGAGATAGGGCTGGGTGATATATAGAATTCATTTGAATGTATGTTTTGGCACGATATTTCAGATGCCTGTCTTGAAAGAAACATGTTTATAATGTTTTTTTTTTAAAAGTATGAGCGTTTTTGTCAGCTTTCTCTCATGTCCTTTTGGTCTCTTCTCCTTCCTTCCTGCTGCGACTGTGCATCTTCCCATTTACGCACACACACCAAGCCCCTCCCACACACCAAGCCCCTCCCCCCACAAACACTAAGCCCCTCCCCCCCCCCACACCAAGCCCCTCCCCCCCCCCCAGTTTTGGTCCAACAGAATCGGTCATATGGACAAACCCATTGAGACATTATTTTACTGTAATAGAGGAGAAGTTAACCTTTCTAACTACCTTTCTTTGTCTCAACTACTCAAATTGCACGCAGAGCAGACACTTCTAAAATGAGTGTATCAATGAATATTGATTCTGGAAAATGAATGCTCAGTTTGTCGCGCGCGGCATTGTCGTACCGCTAGCAGCATTCTAGCCAAATACTGTCACACTAGCTGTCTAGTCTGTGTTTTATAAATGTGCAATAATCATAAAAACACAAGTATATCAGTAATTTGCAACTCGTTCTAATTCGGAGAAATAAGGTAGGTCACTTGATTTCAACATCTGAACAATGTGGACAGGCTAACATGCTTTTCAAACAGCTGGAGACGGACAGAAGGGTGTGTTCATAACAATTCAACTGTTCTACCTGGTTAGCTAGCAAATAGATCCAAGTTGTCTAAACTTGAAATATAAAATATTAGCTGTCTTACTCCCTACCATGTGGGCTTGTGCTTGAGAGATTGTGTAGTGGAAAAGCAGGTGATCCTCGTCTTGCAGAGGCCAGTGTGAGGACTAAATGCATTGTTCGGATGGATGGCCGTATGTTGGCATCTCAGAGGAGAGACACACCTGATCTGTGGCTTTATCCGGGACAAGATGTTCCCGCGGAAGTCCAGGAGAGGTGTGAAAACTTTAAATAGACTAAATTAAATGTTACTGGGTGAATTAAAATTGTTGTGTTTGGTTTGTTTCAAGAGCTACGAATTTTCATGTTCTATTGTACTGTGGCGCTATGGATTTATTGATACAGGGGAAACTGTTATTCGACGGTCAGTTCAAAGATGGAGCGACACAGATGTGCGCTACTATCATTTAACCCCCTAGAGTCATCGGCGCACCTGTGGGAATCTAATTAGCATAATATAAAACATCCCAATATAAATCTGTCAGTTTAAGCTAGAGAAATTTGTTTTTGCATTGGATGCGTCTAAATTCCCCGCAAAGGTTGGAGCGTCGGCCTTCTCGCCCGCTCCAGTAGCGCTCACGTCACCAGCTCAGGGCGTGCCCGTCCCAGCATGCATCTGTAGTCTACTTGTGTGCTGCTATAGCCCCTTGCTTTAGCTACGGTCATGGAGTTCACTAAATATTGTCATAAAGAAACTGATAAAAACACACAGGTGACAAATCAAGGTGACTTACAAAGATGAGGAGGATCAAGAACAAGAGAGGGAGTGTGGTGATGTAGTGTCCACAACTAAACCCAAGAGAGGGAGTGTGGTGACGTAGTGTCCACAACTAAACCCAAGAGAGGGAGTGTGGTGACGTAGTGTCCACAACTAAACCCAAGAGAGGGAGTGTGGTGATGTAGTGTCCACAACTAAACCCAAGAGAAGGAGTGTGGTGACGTAGTGTCCACAACTAAACCCAAGAGAGGGAGTGTGGTGACGTAGTGTCCACAACTAAACCCAAGAGAGGGAGTGTGGTGACGTAGTGTCCACAACTAAACCCAAGAGAGGGAGTGTGGTGACGTAGTGTCCACAACTAAATTCAAGAGAGGGAGTGTGGTGACGTAGTGTCCACAACTAAACCCAAGAGAGGGAGTGTGGTGACGTAGTGTCCACAACTAAACCCAAGAGAGGGAGTGTGGTGACGTAGTGTCCACAACTAAACCCAAGAGAGGGAGTGTGGTGACGTAGTGTCCACAACTAAACCCAAGAGAGGGAGTGTGGTGACGTAGTGTCCACAACTAAACCCAATAGAGGGAGTGTGGTGACGTAGTGTCCACAACTAAACCCAAGAGAGGGAGTGTGGTGACGTAGTGTCCACAACTAAACCCAAGAGAGGGAGTGTGGTGACGTAGTGTCCACAACTAAACCCAAGAGAGGGAGTGTGGTGACGTAGTGTCCACAACTAAACCCAAGAGAGGGAGTGTGGTGACGTAGTGTCCACAACTAAACCCAAGAGAGGGAGTGTGGTGACGTAGTGTCCACAACTAAACCCAAGAGAGGGAGTGTGGTGACGTAGTGTCCACAACTAAATTCAAGAGAGGGAGTGTGGTGACGTAGTGTCCACAACTAAACCCAAGAGAGGGAGTGTGGTGACGTAGTGTCCACAACTAAACCCAAGAGAGGGAGTGTGGTGACGTAGTGTCCACAACTAAACCCAAAGCATGGTGTAGTTACTACATGCACATTGTGGCAAAGTATTTATAAACAAAAAATCTGATCCTTAAACGTTTAGTTCATTTTCGTTCTATTATCTTTACAATAGGCCATCATTGATTTCGGCCCAACAGCCCTGGCATATTCCCACGTTCAAGAAGCTTTACGTTTTGATTGGGTTATTTTGCCTAAAAACCTTTAGACCTACCTATATTAAAAAATAAATATATATATATATATATATATATATATATATATATATAAATAATAATAATCTGCATCTCTGTCCAGCCTGGCAATAGTGCCCAAAAGGCTGTTTAGCATCCCCAGTGCCTCTGCAAGTGAGGAGAGGATATTCTCCACTGCTGGCCGGCTCTCCAGGCACCATGGAGAGGATATTCTCCGCTGCTGGCCTGCTCTCCAGGCACCATGGAGAGGATATCCTCTGCTGCTGGCCTGCTCTCCAGGCACCATGGAGAGGATATTCTCCACTGCTGGCCGGCTCTCCAGGCACCATGGAGAGGATATCCTCTGCTGCTGGCCTGCTCTCCAGGCACCATGGAGAGGATATCCTCTGCTGCTGGCCGGCTCTCCAGGCACCATGGAGAGGATATCCTCTGCTGCTGGCCGGCTCTCCAGGCACCATGGAGAGGATATCCTCTGCTGCTGGCCGGCTCTCCAGGCACCATGGAGAGGATATTCTCCACTGCTGGCCTGCTCTCCAGGCACCATGGAGAGGATATTCTCCACTGCTGGCCTGCTCTCCAGGCACCATGGAGAGGATATCCTCCACTGCTGGCCTGCTCTCCAGGCACCATGGAGAGGATATCCTCTGCTGCTGGCCGGCTCTCCAGGCACCATGGAGAGGATATCCTCTGCTGCTGGCCGGCTCTCCAGGCACCATGGAGAGGATATCCTCTGCTGCTGGCCGGCTCTCCAGGCACCATGGAGAGGATATTCTCCACTGCTGGCCTGCTCTCCAGGCACCATGGAGAGGATATTCTCCACTGCTGGCCTGCTCTCCAGGCACCATGGAGAGGATATCCTCCACTGCTGGCCGGCTCTCCAGGCACCATGGAGAGGATATCCTCTGCAGCTGGCCTGCTCTCCAGGTACCATGGCATGAGCCTGAAGCCACAGACTGGCCAAACTCGTCTTTCTAAAAATGATTTTAAAAAGTCACTAATTAGTCATTTTTCGTTTAATTTGTATTTATATCTAAATAAATCACAGTCTATATGCGCAATTTATAGACTATACTGATTTAATACAACAAAATGGTGTTTAAAATGTTGCACCTTTTATGTCCCTGCCAGGCTAGTGTGTCACAAATGCTCCACAATTGATTTGTTTGTAGACGATAGCCTTGAAATAATATCGCCTAAATAATTATTTTTCGTTCCTTCTTAGGCTCCCAGTCTGTCTCCTGACCTATTTAGAGTGTTTATTTGCTGTTTAATACGACATGTAGCCTATTTGAAATGATGAGCGCCTCTTACAGTCACCTTTTCATGTTTATTAAAATACTTTTAATTCAAATCTATATGGTTTGGTTTGAATACTTCAAAACCAAATGGCAGGTCCAGGTAGTCACAAAAAGTAGATGGGTGTTGGTTACATTTTAATTTTAATGAATGGAGCGAATTTGGAGCAGCAGTTCTTTATCCTGTGAGCACAGAGCGGTTTTTAACCAAGAGGTAGGAAAGGACATGGAGCGCCTTTCCAACCGCTCAACTCCGCTCTGGTGTGCGAGAGAGAGAGAGAGAGAGTGTGTACGTGTACCTCTCCACGGCCTGGCGGATGTGTGTCATCCAGGAGTTGCGCTCCTCTTTGGAGGCAGTGTGTATCTCATACATCTCAGGCTCTTTGGAGGAGGTGCAGATCAGGAACATGGCCTTCTCCTCGTGGGCCACCTCCCTCACTATCAACTTCTGGAGGGAGATCACTGAGGGCTTGTTGTCCTGGGGAGGAGAGAGAGGCACAAGGCAGCTACAAGTCACACTGAAAGAGAATGACACCAGAAAGCAAAATGGAGGAACTTTTCATAGTTCTAGAACCTGTTCCTGGAGAGCTACCCTCCTGCAGGTTTACACCAGGGCTCTCCAACCCTGTTCCTGGAGAGCTACCCTCCTGCAGGTTTACACCAGGGCTCACCAACCCTGTTCCTGGAGAACTACCCTCCTGCAGGTTTACACCAGGGCTCTCCAACCCTGTTCCTGGAGAGCTACCCTCCTGCAGGTTTACACCAGGGCTCACCAACCTTGTTCCTGGAGAACTACCCTCCTGCAGGTTTACACCAGGGCTCTCCAACCCTGTTCCTGGAGAACTACCCTCCTTGCAGGTTTACACCAGGACGAGTAGTTCTCCAGGAACAGGGTTGGAGAGCTACCCTCCTGCAGGTTTACACCAGGACGAGTAGTTCTCCAGGAACAGGGTTGGAGAGCTACCCTCCTGCAGGTTTACACCAGGACGAGTAGTTCTCCAGGAACAGGGTTGGAGAGCTACCCTCCTGCAGGTTTACACCAGGACGAGTAGTTCTCCAGGAACAGGGTTGGAGAGCTACCCTCCTGCAGGTTTACACCAGGACGAGTAGTTCTCCAGGAACAGGGTTGGAGAGCTACCCTCTTGCAGGTTTACACCAGGACGAGTAGTTCTCCAGGAACAGGGTTGGAGAGCTACCCTCCTGCAGGTTTACACCAGGGCGAGTAGTTCTCCAGGAACAGGGTTGGAGAGCTACCCTCCTGCAGGTTTACACCAGGGCGAGTAGTTCTCCAGGAACAGGGTTGGAGAGCTACCCTCCTGCAGGTTTACACCAGGGCGAGTAGTTCTCCAGGAACAGGGTTGGAGAGCCCTGATGTAAACCTGCAGGAGGGTAGTTCTCCAGGAACAGGGTTGGAGAGCCCTGGTGTAAACCTGCAGGAGGGTAGTTCTCCAGGAACAGGGTTGGAGAGCCCTGTTCTAGACAGATAAACAGAAGAAGCGGTGTCTAAATTTCCATTGAGAGTTGAGTTAGGATTTTAGTGTGACAGATTCAGTTAGTCGTTCCAGAGAGGAAAACAAAGCGTAGTCATGTTACAGGGCGGAATTAACTGACACATCAGAATTCACGACTCACCACAGCAGAGAAGACATATCTCTGGTCCTTCTCTTGGAGTAACAATAGCACGTCAGACAGAAGCACAGCCAGTATATCTGAAATGAAAAGGGGAGGTACATTTTTAGACCTGTGTGAAATCAATACAGATAGAAGAGAAAAGATCACTTACTTCAGATTATTGGAGATGCAGCCCCTGAGGCAGGGTTAAGGTCAATTCAGAAAGTAAAACAAATTCCAAACTTTCCCCAATTGAAAAGCATTGAAGAGAATTTGAATTTCTGTGCACTTCCTGAATTGACTGGAGTTGAAATTAAATTGACCCCAACCCTGGCCTGAGGGTCATCCTGTTACCTTTGAGTCTGCCGGAGGCAGCCTTGTGGTTGGCCGTCCCCTCGTGCAGCAGCCTGCGTCGACCCTGGGCCAGGTCCTCTCTGTGGAACACACGGCCATCTTTGATCTTGCCCAGGGACTTGGGCTCCATCTTGTGGGCGATGTCTCGGAGGCGCGAGGCCTTCTCATGCAGGTTGACCAGGGCATCCACCTGGACGATGCAGTCTTTGATCAGACCCAGAGACCTGGACAACTCGTCGTGTTCCTCCGTCCCCACTGGAGGGAGTAAAGGGGAGGATAACTTCAGACACTCAGAATGTTGGTATTTCTCTTAGCTCTTTGGGCTTTTAGGTATCTGTGAGGGAGTGTGGTGATGTTTTACTGTTGGATGTAAAAAAAGGGCTTTATAAAATACATTTCATTGATTAGTTATTCAACTTCAGACACACTGAACATCAGGGAGAAATAACGTTATTCTTTCTAGTCCAACAGTCTTTAACAGAAAGTCGGGCCTAAACCTCAAGAGTCATCGGAGGGTAGAGACCAAGTACATAAACCCTCTGTCTATTAACCTTCTGTGTTCTGCACAATGCGTTCCACCAGCACAGGGTACTTGGTGATGCGTTGTGTCACCAGGAGAATACACTCAGTCACTCCTAATCTTCTCACAACAGACAGATTATTGACTTTCTGGAAGAAAAAGGGACATGCATTATACATACTGTTCACGGACCATGTAGGGCAATCAATAAAATGTTTCTGGTTACACACAGGAGGCCACAAAAGCTGGATGCGAACATGCCACACGTTCATAAATAACCCACTCTCATTAATGTTTCACATCCTCTTTAGAAAAAGGGGTCAAATCCGCAGTTGCTGCATACATTTTTGGACTTATAACTTAAAATGATATACCGTTGAAGTCGAAAGTTTACATACACCTTAGCCAAATACATTTCAACTCAGTTTTTCACAATTCCTGACATTTAATCCTAGTAAAAATGCCCTGTCTTAGATCAGTTAGGATCACCACTTTATTTTAAGAATGTGAAATGTCAGAATAATAGTAGAGAGAATGATTTATTTTAGCTTTTATTTCTTTCATCACATTCCCAGTGGGTCAGAAGTTTACATACACTCAATTAGTATTTGGGAGCATTGCCTTTAAATTGTTTAAATTGGGTCAAACGTGTCGGGTAGCCTTCCACAAGCTTCCCACAATAAGTTGGGTGAATTTTGGCCCATTCCTCCTGACAGAGCTGGTGTAACTGAGTCAGGTTTGTAGGCCTCCTTGCTCGCACACACTTTTTCAGTTCTGCCCACACATTTTCTATAGGATTTAGGTCAGGGCTTTGTGATGGCCTCTCCAATACCCTGACCTTGTTGTCCTTAAGCCATTTTGCCACAACTTTGGATGTATGCTTGGGGTCATTGTCCACTTGGAAGACACATTTTCGACCAAGCTTTAACTTCCTGACTGATGTCTTGAGATGTTGCTTCAATATATCCACATAATTTTCCTTCCTCATGATGCCATCTATTTTGTGAAGTGCACCAGTCTCTCCTGCAGCAAAGCACCCCCACAGCATGATGCTGCCACCGCCCGTGCTTCACGGTTGGGATGGTGTTCTTCGGCTTGCAAGCGACCCCCTTTTTCCTCCAAACATAACGATGGTCAATTATGGCCAAACAGTTCTATTTTTGTTTCATCAGACCAGAGGACATTTCTCCAAAAAGTACGATCTTTGTCCACATGTGCAGTTGCAAACCGTAGTCTGGCTTTTTTATGTCGGTTTTGGAGCAGTGGCTTCTTCCTTGCTGAGCGGGCTTTCAGGTTATGTCAATATAGGACTCGTTTTACTGTGGATATAGATACTTTGTACCTGTTTTCTCCAGCATCTTCACAAGGTCCTTTGCTGTTGTTCTGGGATTGATTTGCACTTTTCGCACCAAAGTACGTTAATCTCTAGGAGACAGAACGCGTCTCCTTCTTGAGCGGTATGACGGCTGCATGGTCCCATGGTGTTTATACTTGCGTACTATTGTTTGAACAGATGCACGTGGTACCTTCAGGCGTTTGGAAATTGCTCCCAAGGATGAACCAGAGGTCTACACATTTTTTTCTGAGGTCTTGGCTGATTTCTTTTGATTTTCCCATGATGTCAAGCAAAGAGGCACTGAGTTTGAAGGTAGGCCTTGAAATACATCCACAGGTACACCTCCAATTGACACAAATTATGTCAATTAGCCTATCAGAAGCTTCTAAAGCCACGACATCATTTTCTGGAATGTTCCAAGCTGTTTAAAGGCACAGTCAACTTAGTGTATGTACACTTCTGACCCACTGGAATTGTGATAGAGTGAATTATAAGTGAAATAATCTGTCTGTAAACAATTGTTGGAAAAATGACTTGTGTCATGCACAAAGAAGATGTCTTAACCGACTTGCCAAAACTATAGTTTGTTATCAAGAAATTTGTGGAGTGGTTGAAAAACAAGTTTTAATGACTCCAATCCAAGTGTATGTAAATTTCAACTTCAACTGTACTCATTGATTCTTGAAGAATATAACTTGCCTCATGAGCTTAGAACTGGTGTACCCCATCAGAACCCCAAATGTAAGCTTGTTTTACTACATTGTAAACGTAAACACTGTATAGCCTAAAGAAATGCTTAAAACTATCATTTTGGATCATGGATGGTCAGTCCTTGCATCAATAGCTATGTCTATGAATTTAAGAATGGTCACATTTCTCCAGGCCCACCCCTCAGTTTTTGACCAAAACAGAGGCGAGGGTGACCGTTTTCAACTGCAGACAGCCCCCAGATGGTGCTGGACCTTTTGTCAATTTCTATACTACAGTAATGGAACCAGTAACGACCAACCCGTATGAGGTTCTGGAACTTCTTGTTGCTGTGTAGTTGCTCCTTGTAGTTGCCGACAGCCTCGGTGTGGTGGCTGCAGAAATCACCATAGCTCTCCTTCATCTGCTCCCCTATGTCACCTGAAAACTGGAGCAGAGACAGGAATGAGGAGAAACTGTAGATAGTCTGCTCCGATTACCTCATCTCTCTGACAGGTTAAACCAACGCAATACGGTATGACTATATACACACACATGATCCTTTTGACATATAAAGGGAAGAGGAACTCAGAGAGGAACACTGTCGAGGTAATTGGGACACAGCGTCTGATTTGTCGAGTAAATTTAATGCAGTAAAATCCAATAAAATGCAAATTAATTACTTAAAAATCATACAATGTGATTTTCTGGATTTTTGTTTTAGATTCCGTCTCTCACAGTTGAAGTGTACCTATGATAAAAATTACAGACCTCTACATGCTTTGTAAGTAGGAAAACCTGCAAAATCGGCAGTGTATCAAATACTTGTTCTCCCCACTGTATATATATATATATATATATATATATATTACTGTGTGTGTAGTCTCTACCTGAGTGGTGAGGATGTCAGCGAGTCTCTGTATGTTGTAGTTCCTGTCGCTGCCGGGCTGCATGGCGTCTCGCCGCCGCTCTTTGAGGCGGGACAGGAAGTGTGTGTGCAGCTGTAGCAGGGTCTCCAGGCGTGGGAACAGATCGTCCAGGTGAAGGTGCTCCTTCAGCTCCCTGACGTACACACGCAGCATGATCTTCAGGATCCGCACGTGGTGCATCTCCGTCTGTATCAGCTCTGTTGGGAGAAATACAGCCCGACAGACAGACGGGGGTTCAACCATCTAGTTGGTCTTTAAAAAGGAATTTGCTTTTCAACCACTGGACTCCATTTATTGTGAAATTGTTCGATATTACTGCACTGTCGCAGCTAGAAGCACAAGCATTTCGCTACACCCGCTATAACATCTGCTAAACACGTGTATGTGACAAATAAAAATTGATTTGATTTGAGGTCAATAATAAAACAATGGCAAGTCCAGACAAACAGAAAAATGGTACAAATGGCTTCTCCATTTCCCTAACTTACCTTTTAATCCTAAACTTAATCACAGATATAACTATAAAAACACAATGAAAGCCAACATAAGACAAATGAACATAAATTGTCTAAAACAGGGGTGTCAAACGTCCGGCCCGCGGGCCGAATCAGGCCCGCAAACGGGTTTAATCCGGCCCGCGAGATGATTTTGAAAAAAATAAATAAAATAATAATAATAATAATTTTGTAAAGTATAAAAATGCGCTGCAATTTTTCGATTAAATAAACTGCTGTTCCAATTGCGTCCACTGGATGGCGCAATAGCAATTGTGTTAAGCAAGCAAACTGTTTATACCGGGGCAGAGCAAGTAGGTCAAGCACGTGCAGCCAATGAGCTACTTTGTTTTGCCCGCGATATTTATTACGGCTTCTACTTTTAACATTATGTGCTTTGGCACCCTCATTGCCCCAATATGTCTCTGTCAAAAAAGAGAAAAGTGGACGCAGAGTGCAGAGTGTTCCAAGAAAAATTGTCATCCTATTTATTCACGGAATTGAATGGGAAAGCTGTATGTTTGGTGTGTTCAGAGCATGTTGCAGTGCTGAAAGAATATAACCTTCGTCGCCACTATGTGAGTCTTCATGCCGACAAATATGACAACTTTCAAGGACAGCGGAGATGAGAGAAGGTGAATGAACTGTTGGCGGGTCTGAAGAAACAGCAGTCTGTGTTTACTCACAGCCGAGACATCAGTGACGCTGCAGTGAAAGCTAGCTACCTCATTGCTAATGAAATCGCAGTGGCTTCAAAACCATTTAGTGAGGGTGAATTTGTAAAAACATGCATGATGAAGGCAGCGGAGATTGTGTGCCCTGAAAAGCGGCAGGCTTTTGCAAATATCAGCCTGACAAGAAACACAGTTGCAGACAGGATTTCTGATCTTTCAGTGGATTTGGACAGCCAGTTGAAGCAAAAAGTAAAGTCATTTATTGCGTTTTCGGTTGCAATTGATGAAAGCACGGATATTACAGATGTTGCACAACTGGCCATTTTCATCTGCGGAGTTGATGACACATTGACCGTCACCGAGGAGTTCGTGGAGTTGGTGCCGATGACAGATACAACGACAGCAGCTGATATTTTTACCGCACTCGTCGGCGCGCTGGACAGGGTCGGAGTGGACTGGTCCCGCGCTGTCAGCCTGGCTACAGATGGTGCGCCCTCAATGATCGGGAAAAAAAGCAGGCGTTGTGACAAAGTTCAGAGAGAAAGTGCAATCTGCAAATGGAGGACGTGATTTTTTGACTTTTCACTGTATTTTGCACCAGGAGGCTTTGTGTTGCAAGTCATTAAAGATGGATAACGTCATGAAGGTGGTCATCCAAACTGTTAATTTCATCCGATCCAGAAGCCTGAATCACCGTCAGTTTGACAGCCTTCTCAGAGAGAAAGACCACATCTATGGCCTGCCATACCACACTGAGGTAAGATGGTTAAGCCGAGGTGCTGAGGCGTTTCTTTGATTTACGAGAAGAAATTGAACAGTTCATGGAAGAAAAGGGCAAACCAGTGTTAGAATTTCATTCCGCAGAATGGATGCAGGACCTTGCATTTATGGTGGATGTTACAGAGCACCTGAATAACTTGAACAAACAGCTGCAAGGGCGCAACAAAGTTGTCACGCAGTATTATGACAGCATACGTTCTTTCAAGTTGAAGCTGTCATTGTGGGAGACGCAACTTGCCGGTGGTGATGCAGCTCACTTCCCCTGTCTGAAAAATGTGTGCGCGACCCAACATGTGGCAGACATGAAGCGGTTCAAAGATAAAATAACGGGACTGTTACGGGAGTTTGAGCAACGCTTTCAGATTTATGTTTATATGTTTTTATGTTGATGTGCTATTGTTTTTAATTGATTTTATTTTATTTGTATATTTAACCTATTCTTGACTCTGTGGTTCTTGCACTTGTTTGGGGAACAGGATTTCATTATTTTTATCTACATTTCTGCCTGAGAAATGACACCCTGATATAGTTCTGTGATCTGTGATATACTTCTGTGAATCACTGAGGCATTGTGTGTTTGTGTGTTCTTTGTCCTCAGAACTTTCAAATAACTTGAGGTGTTTTATGATTAATAGTGATGTTGTGCTTTTGGACACTGTCCTCAGGCTCCAGCTTTATGTTTATATGTTTTTATGTTGATGTGCTATTGTTTTTAATTGATTTTATTTTATTTGTATATTTAACCTATTCTTGACTCTGTGGTTCTTGCACTTGTTTGGGGAACAGGATTTCATTATTTTTATCTACATTTCTGCCTGAGAAATGACACCCTGATATAGTTCTGTGATCTGTGAAACAGTTCTGTGAATCACTGAGGCATTGTGTGTTTGTGTGTTCTTTTTCTTTAGAATTTTCAAATAAACTTGACGTGTTTTATGATTAATAGTGATGTTGTGCTTGTACTATTTTGGACACACTGTCCTCAGGCTCCAGCTTTATGTTGTATGTTGATCGTATTAAAACAAAGAAAACAATCTGAAGTTGTTGTTTTTAAGTTATATATATATATATACACACACACCATGATTTTTCCGGTCCGGCCCACTTGGGAATAGATTTTCCTCCATGTGGCCCCTGAGCTAAAATGAGTTTGACACCCCTGGTCTAAAACATCAGAATACAACATAAAAGACAGTGAAATGTACCGTAGATAACGTCCTGTCTCTTGACCATCTCCTTGGAATACAACATAAAAGACAGTGAAATGTACCGTAGATAACGTCCTGTCTCTTGACCATCTCCTTGGTGTGTTTCTTCAGGTACTGTTGGTCCACAGCCAGACTCCATGACTCCACCTATAATATATACGATGTAATAGATCATACAAATATATAATAATAATAAATACACTGAACAAAAATATAAACACAACATTCAACAATTTCAAAGATTTTATTGAGTTACAGTTCATATGAGGAAATCAGTCAATTGAAATAAATAAATTAGGCCATAATCTATGGTTTTCACACGACTGGGAATACAGATATGCATCTGTTGGTCACAGATACCTTAAAATAAATGGGCCTCAGGATCTCGTCAAGGTATTTCTGCGCATTCAAATTGCCATCGATAAAATGCAATTGTGTTCGTTGTCCGTAGCTTATGCCTGCCCATACCATAACCCTACCGCCACCATGGGGCACTCTGTTCACAACGTTGACATCAGCATACCGCTCGCCCACACAACGCCATACACGTGGTCGGCGGTTGTGAGGCCGGTTGGACGTACTGCCAAATTCTTTCAAATGACATTGGAGGTGGCTTATGGTAGAGAAATGAGCATTCAATTCCCTGGCAACAGCTCTGGTGGACATTCCTGCAGTCAGCATGCCAATTGCACGCTCCCTCAAAACTTGGGAGACATCTGTGGCATTGTGTTGTGACAAAACTGCACATTTTAGAGTGGCTTTTTTATTGTCCCCAGCACAAGGTGCACCTGTGTAATGATCATGCTGTTTAATCAGCTTCTTGATATGCCACACCTGTCAGGTGGATGGATTATCTTGGCAAAGGAGAAATGCTCACTAACAGGGATGTAAACAAATTTGTGCACAAAATTTGAGATAAATACGCTTTTTGTGCGAATGGAACAACTTTTATTTCAGCTCATGAAACACGGGACCAACACTTCACATGTTGTGTTTTATATTCGAGTTCAGTGTACAATAATACAATACCTCCAGGTCCTGGGCATCTGAATCCAGATCAGCTCGAAATGTAGAGTAGTACGCATCTGGGGAAGGGGAGGGGCGGGTCACAGAACAGCACGGCTCAAATTATTATGATTAGTGTGCAGCACAACTCAACTGAAATGTATTTTGAATGCCTTCAATAGGTGATGTTCCTAATTGTCACATCATATGATTTACCAACATGTGCAATTAAATGCAAAAGTAATAATCCAACCTGTGTTACGGCCAGTAAGAACCCATAGTGATCTACCACGGTCTGTGTGGATGGCTGGTTGTCTTTCTACTGTCGCAGCTCTAGGAGCCACAGTACTGCTAGACAACCTCGGCTAGAGGTCTCTCCCCCACGCACTAGCTTAATGAAACTGGGTGAGGCCCCATCTCCCTCCCCATAGCCCACGCAATCTACATATCAGTTGCATAACCTACCATAACAGGGTTAGACAACCCTCCCCCTGGAGAGCTACCCTCCCCCTGGAGAGCTACCCTCCCCCCTGGAGAGCTACCCTCCCCCTGGAGAGCTACCCTCCCCCCTGGAGAGCTACCCTCCCCCCTGGAGAGCTACCCTCCCCCCTGGAGAGCTACCCTCCACCTGGAGTGCTACCCCCCCCCTGGAGAGCTACCCTCCCCCTGGAGGGAGAGCTAGGGGGAGGGAGAGCTACCCTCCCCCCTGGAGAGCTACCCTCCCCCCTGGAGAGCTACCCTCCACCTGGAGGGAGAGCTACCCTCCACCTGGAGGGAGAGCTACCCTCCACCTGGAGGGAGAGCTACCCTCCACCTGGAGAGCTACCCTCCCCCTGGAGAGCTACCCTCCCCCTGGAGAGCTACCCTCCCCCTGGAGAGCTACCCTCCACCTGGAGAGCAGCTACCCTCCACCTGGAGAGCAGCTACCCTCCCCCTGGAGAGCTACCCTCCACCTGGAGAGCTACCCTCCCCCTGGAGGGCTACCCTCCCCCTGGAGAGCTACCCTCCCCCTGGAGAGCTACCCTCCACCTGGAGAGCTACCCTCCCCCTGGAGAGCTACCCTCCACCTGGAGAGCTACCCTCCCCCTGGAGGGCTACCCTCCCCCTGGAGAGCTACCCTCCCCCTGGAGAGCTACCCTCCACCTGGAGAGCTACCCTCCACCTGGAGAGCTACCCTCCACCTGGAGGGCTACCCTCCCCCTGGAGGGCTACCCTCCCCCTGGAGAGCTACCCTCCCCCTGGAGGGAGAGCTAGGGGGAGGGAGAGCTACCCTCCACCTGGAGAGCTACCCTCCCCCCTGGAGAGCTACCCTCCCCCCTGGAGAGCTACCCCCCCCCCTGGAGAGAGAGCTACCCTCCACCTGGAGAGCTACCCTCCACCTGGAGAGCTACCCTCCACCTGGAGAGCTACCCTCCACCTGGAGAGCTACCCTCCACCTGGAGAGCTACCCTCCCCCTGGAGAGCTACCCTCCCCCTGGAGAGCTCGCTCCCCCTGGAGAGCTTTTCTCCACCTGGAGAGCTACCCTCCACCTGGAGAGCTACCCTCCCCCTGGAGAGCTACCCTCCACCTGGAGAGCTACCCTCCCCCTGGAGAGCTACCATCCACCTGGAGGGCTACCCTCCCCCTGGAGGGAGAGCTACCCTCCCCCTGGAGAGCTTTTCTCCACCTGGAGAGCTACCCTCCACCTGGAGAGCTACCCTCCCCCTGGAGAGCTACCCTCCACCTGGAGAGCTACCCTCCCCCTGGAGAGCTACCCTCCCCCTGGAGAGCTTTTCTCCACCTGGAGAGCTACCCTCCACCTGGAGAGCTACCCTCCCCCCTGGAGAGCTACCCTCCCCCTGGAGGGAGAGCTACCCTCCCCCTGGAGAGCTTTTCTCCACCTGGAGAGCTACCCTCCACCTGGAGAGCTACCCTCCCCCTGGAGAGCTACCCTCCCCCTGGAGAGCTACCCTCCCCCTGGAGAGCTACCCTCCACCTGGAGAGCTACCCTCCCCCTGGAGAGCTACCCTCCCCCTGGAGAGCTACCCTCCACCTGGAGAGCTACCCTCCACCTGGAGAGCTACCCTCCCCCTGGAGAGCTACCCTCCACCTGGAGAGCTACCCTTCCCCTGGAGAGCTACCCTCCCCCTGGAGAGCTACCCTCCCCCTGGAGAGCTACGCTCCCCCTGGAGAGCTACCCTCCCCCTGGAGAGCTACCCTCCCCCTGGAGAGCTACCCTCCCCCTGGAGAGCTACCCTCCCCCTGGAGAGCTACTGTCCTGCAGGCTCTCTCCAACCCTAATCTAGCCAACAAACACTGATTCTACCAATTAGCTGCTCACCAGGACTTTGATCAGCTGAATCAGGTTAGTTACAACAGAGTTGGAGCAAAAGCCTGCACACCCAGTAGCGGTTGTCCACCCTGGCTGTACAGTACACTTGCCCCAGGTACAGTATCTGAGCTGCGACGCGCAGCAGCTCCCTCCCTAGCCCACTCACCTTCTACAATGATGGAGTCAGTGGTGGAAGGGGCCAGGGAGACGGCGTCCTCGTTGAAGCGCTTGATCCCGAGGCGTAGGCTGTCCAGCTCATCCATGTCCCCTGGGGGTGCTCTGAAAGACGAGCGCCAAAAGGTCTAGAGTGGCATAAACACTGAACATACTGAGAGACTGAGACTTGTCCAGACAACAGACTATTGTACACTAACACTACAGACACAGATACATACTGTACATACTGAGAGACTACACTAACACTACGAGACCACAGGAGACAGACGGCGGCCATAGACTATAGACAGCTATAGACTACAGCAGCCCAGAGGGTCATAGTCTACATGCTAACAGAGACTACACTACCACCACACATGACAAAAACACAGCTTCACGCCACCCTCCTGCAGCCTGCCTGCAAGACGGTCCATCTACGACAGCAGCGGCTGTTTTAAGGTCCGTAGCTGCTGCATGCCACCTATTAATAACACATCACAGAGATGTAGAGAAAACTAGCGTTTAAGCTGAAAGGCAAGAACGTAGAAATAGCCTAGAATAACACCACAACCACCGGAATCTTTTCACACAGGTAAAAGACAGCCAGTACAGGTGCATCAGAGATCAGACCAAGACTAAAGAACAGCTTCTATCACCAGACCATCTGTCTGTCGAACAGCTTATATGCTCAAGGGCACGTCGACAGATCTCCCACAAGGTCAAAAACGGGGACCCGAACCACCAATCCATCAGCCACCGGCCCAAGCTCCCAACAGCCAGCCCTCCAAGATCCCCCCCCCCCCCCCCCCCCCCCGAGAAAAATCAATCAATGTTATGCATTTTCAGCCATTCCTGAACCTGAGACCAGAACCAGGCTACCTGAGGGCAATACCAAAACAAATGGTCTATTGATTCTGTATCCTCACAACAAAATCTGCAGAGCTTCGATGATTGTATGCCCCAAATATTCAACATTTGGTTGGTGGCAAGAATTCTATATAATAATTTTAGCTGAAAAGCACGAAGTCTTGAATCTTGCGTCGTTTTATATATCAACTCATAAACCCTGTACCATGGAATCGGTACATCAAAAAATCTCTTCCCAACTATTTTGCAATCTGTATGGCACAGCTGTCAATATCCTGGTCCTCAAATGAAACTGGTATACTTTCCTATTCATGCTATTTTTATTCCTCCGCCAGTTTTGATCCTATATATTGGGCAGACAGACCAGTTCCCTACCTCCTCCCACTGCCACCTGCCTCCTCCATTTTTTTGAGGTAATGCTGTAATCAATTGGTTGTAATCTTGGATTGAGCAGACCTTCCCATACAATTCTGATAACTCCATGAAAGACATAACTCTACCATTCCAATTTACAATATCATTTAAAAACAAAAATACCAATTTTTCCCATAAATACAGGTCTTATATCAACCAGCACATTTGAGTTCAGCCATAATGTTTGTTCTATCTTTTCAGGGAAATGAAATTGAAATTGTAGCCAGCTCTGCAATGCTTGTTTGAAAAAGAAAAAATACAATTTTCAATTAATCGAAGATGAGACATGGCAATCTGCACAAAGGCAAAATTGCCATTTTTAAACAATGGATGAGCTTTTCTTCGTAATCTACTTGAGAACCATTTAGGGTTCAAGTAAAACTTTTGAATAAGTGATGCTTTTAGAGAGGTTTAGTGCCTATATATTTTATAATATCAACCCACCCAATTCATATTCATTATATAGATAGGCACGCTTTATCTTGTCTGGTTTAGCATCCCACAAAAAGCGAAATATTTTTTGCTCGTATGATTTGAAAAATGAATAAAATCAGGAGTAGGCAGCGCCATAAGTAAGTGAGTAAAGGAAGATATGACTAAGGAGTTAAATCAGAGCAATTTTTCCATAAATAGACAGGTATTTACCTCTCCATGGTTGCAGGATCTTGTCTATTTTTACAAGTTTTCTATTGAATTCATTGTGGAGAGCTCATTTACATATTTTGTGATATGAATACCAAGTATGTCTACTTCACCGTCAGCCAGTTGTATAGGTAAACTGCAGGGTAATGTAAAGGTTGTATTTTTTAAAGATCCAGTACGTAATATTGTACACTTATCATAATTAGGTTTTAGTCCAGGGAGTCCAGAAAAGTGATCTAGATCTTCAATGAGACATTGCAGGGATCTAGCTTGCGGACTTAATATAAAACTTGAGTCATCGACATACATGGACACCTTCGTTTCTAATCCTCTAATGTTGTTATTTGATCTGATTTTAATTGCTAGCATTTCGATGGCCATAACAAATAGATATGGTGACAGCGGACACCCTTGTTTAACTCCTCTTGACAATTCTGAGAAGTAGCTGCTATTTACTATTTTACACCTGGGGTTGCTATACATTACTTTTACCCATTTTATAAGAGAATCACCGAAATTGAAAAAAAAATCCAGGCATTTATAAATAAAATCCAGTCTTACTTTATCAAAGGCCTTTTCAAAATCTGCTATAAATACCAGGCCTGGCTTCTTAGATGTTTCATGATGTTCTATTATTTCTAGTAGTATATTATCACCAATGTATCGTCCATGTAAAAAACCTATGATCAGGATGAACAATATCTGGTAAAACCTTAATTCTGAGTGCTATGCATTTTCGCTAGTATTTTTGCATCACAACATTGAAGTGTTAGAGGCCTCCAGTTTTTAAGATATAAAGATCCAGTCTATTTGCCATCTGTGTCTTGTTTTAATAATAGTGAAATCAGACCTTCCTGCTGAGTACCTGTCAGACTACCATTTCTATAGGAGCAGTTAAAACAAGCTCAAAATTGAGCTTTGAGTATATCAAAAAAGGCTTGATATACCTCTACCAGTATGCCATCAAGCCCTGGGGTTTTTCCACACAAAGGATTTAATAGCCTCAAAAAGTAATTCCTCTGTAATTTGGCCTTTGCACTGATCTTTCTTGATTTGTCATTTTACTGCATTGTTAGGAGCTAGTAACATAAGCACTTTGCTGCACCCGCTATAACACCTGCAAAACTGTGAACCCGACCAGTAAACTTTAATTTGATAAATTAATTACTTTCAGGTGGTGAAAAAAAAACGTGTCCAAAATGTGTCTTTCCTACTACTTATTTAAACTGCATATTAAAATCATACTACGTACTATTTAGAACGTACTGTTAAGTAAAAATGAATGCAGTAAGCAACAAATAACAGCATACTAGGCATCCTCCTACTGAGAACGCGTCATTATTGTGCAACTGCGTTGATTCCCGCCATTCGTTCATTTTATGATTATCAGCTCGTCAGACACACGTGGGTCTCAAAATACGATTCGCTTCCTCAATAGTGTGCAGCGAATTCTACTAGATGAAAAGCCTAAAGTATGAGATCCTGGCATTTAAAGCATACAAATTGTTTGAAATTTCACATAATATAAAACGTTATTTTTTTCCGCATACCCAAAATGCATACTAAGAACGCAAGTATGGGTATTTCTGACACGGCCAAAGACGAAGACAATAAGGTGATAGAGAACAGTGATATAGAGCCTATAACTACAGAGTAGAGCTGGGATGATAAACCGAAAACTACTGACACCGACATTGCCCTACGTAAGTCATTTTCGGTGATTAGGTTACACAATGTTCATGCTGAATTTTTGATTCTATGAACCATACACTTATTGACCAGCAGCTAGCTTATGTAGCCTATTGATTGATTGGCCAGGTGCCTAGCTGTGGTTCTTCTTACTAACCCGGAGCGGCTGTTGTGGCTGGAGGAAGAGCTGTTGGAGGCAGGCTGAGCACTGGGTCCCTGCGGGGTGAGGGTCATGCCTGGGATGTGCGTAGAGCCAGAGGGGCAATCAGGGGCCGAAGAAGACTGGTCCCGCTCCCGCTCCCTCGGGGCTGGGGAGAGATGAGAGGAGGAGAAAGAGGTGGTTAGAGCACTGCTGGCCCCAGTAACACTGCAGTCAGGCGCTAAACTGAGAGCCCTGCAGGAAGTGACTGGTGAGGTTCTCTCTGTGCATCAGCAACCGGACCCCCAGACAGACCCCACAAGGGCCCCCGGACATTCCAGGGAGGTCTGGCCCAGTCAAACCCCCTGGTTAACTGCTAATGTAGTTCCATAGTGTCTGTCTGGTAGAACACAGGAGGTGATACTGCTTTAGAAGGGATGCTGCTGTAGTCACGGAGACAGCACACAGGGCTTTATATAGAACCGGACTTCTGAGATCTCTCTCTCTCTCATAGGCAGAGATTGACCAGCCGCAGGAGGGGAGATGAGAACGCAGGCGTCTATTAGTCAGAGTCCTGCTGTTCTTCAGATGACTGCTGCTACAGCGCATGAGCCGTTTACCATCAGCCCTCATCCACCAGACTGCTGCTACGGCGCATGAGCCGTTTAACATCAGCCCTCATCCACCAGACTGCTGCTACTGAAGATGAGCCGTTTAACATCAGCCCTCATCCACCAGACTGCTGCTACTGAAGATGAGCCGTTTAACATCAGCCCTCATCCACCAGACTGCTGCTACTGAAGATGAGCAGTTTAACATCAGCCCTCATCCACCAGGGAAGGAATAAAAGTCTCCTGATTCTCAAATGCAAATGACACGTACAACACATTCATTAATTTCATACTAATTGACAGAATTACAATTTTTCCATTACTGATTGATAAGGAAATATAATTTATGTACAGTATTATGATGGCGGAAATGTCCTGATTTTAATATTTAGATTAAAAGTACCAGGTTTTTAATTGTCAGTGAGAGTTGTGCCTTTTCATTCCTAATGCTCATATTTTTGGGTTGCATCTCTGATGATAAAAAGATTGTGGGGGCTGTTTTGTTAGATTTCAGTGCGGCTTTTGACATTATCGATCAAGTCTGCTTCTGGAAAAAAGTATGTGTTATGGCTTTACTCCACCTGCTATATTGTGGATACAGAGTTACCTGTCTAACAGAACACAGAGGGTGTTCTTTAATGGAAGCCTCTCCAACATAATCCAGGTAGAATCAGGAATTCCCCAGGGCAGCTGTCTATGCCCATTACTTTTTTCAATCTTTACTAATGAGTAAAGTGTGTCTATGTATACAGATGACTCAACACTATACACGTCAGCTACTACAGCGACTGAAATACTGCAACACTTAAAGAGTTGCAGTTAGTTTCAGAGTGGGTGGCAAGGAATAAGTTAGTCCTAAATATTTCTAAAACTAAAAGCATTGTATTTGGGACAAATCATTCACTAAACCCTAAACCTCAACTAAATCTTGTAATAAATAATGTGGAAGTTGAGGAGACTAAACTGCTTGGAGTAACCCTGGATTGTAAACTGTCATGGTCAAAACATATTGATACAACAGTAGCTAAGATGGGGAGAAGTATGTCCATAATAAAGCGCTGCTCTACCTTATTAACAACAATATCAACTAGGCAGGTCCTACAGGCCCTAGTTTTGTCACACCTGGACTACTGTTCAGTCGTGTGGTCAGGTGTCATAAAAAAGGAAACTTGCAATTGGCTCAGAACAGGGCAGCACGGCTGGCCCTTGGATGTACACAGAGAGCTAATATTAATAATATGCATGTCGACCTCTCCTGGCTCAAAGTGGAGGAGAGATTGACTTCATCACTACTTGTGTTTATGAGAGGTGTTGACATGTTGGGTGCACCGAGCTGTCTGTCTGAGCTACTGGCGCACAGCTCGGTCACCCATGCATACCCCAGAAGACATGCAACCAGAGGTCTCTTCACAGTCCCCAAGTCCAGAACAGACTATGGGAGGCGCACAGTACTACATAGAGCCATGACTACATGGAACTCTATTCCACATCAAGTAACTGATGCAATTAGATTTAAAAAACAGATTTTAAAAAAATACCTTATGGAACAGCAGGGACTGTGAAGCAACAAACATAGGCGCAGACACATGCAGACACACGTACGCATGGATTTTTGTACTGTAGATATGTGGTAGTGGTGGAGTAGGGGCCTGAGGGCACACAGTGTGTTGTGAAATCTGTGAATGTATTGTAATGTTTTTAAAATTGTATGAACTGCAGATTCAAATGCAAATTCATTTGCAGCTATTTTTTCTGTAGCCAAGATAATGGACAGAGGGAAGAAACTAATTATTCACGGTCATGCAATATTGGAGTTCATTCCCAACTACACTGAACAAAAATATAAAACGCAACATGCAACAATTTCAAAGATTTTACTGAGTTATAGTTCATATAAGGAAATCAGTCAATTGAAATAAATTAATTTGGCCCTAATCTATGGATTTCACATCACTGTGAATATACAGATATGCATCTGTTGGTCACAGATAGATAGTTTAAAGAAAAGTAGGGGTGTGGATCAGAAAACCAGTCAGTATCTGGTGTGACCATTTGCCCCACGCAGCGCAAATTCTCCTTCGCATAGAGTTGATCAGGCTGTTGATTGTGGCCTGTAGAATGTTGTCCCACTCCTCTTCAATGTTTGTGCGAAGTTGCTGGATATTGGCGGGATCTGGAACACGCTGTCGTAGACGTCGACCCAGAGCATCCCAAACATGCTCAACGAGTGACATGTATGGTGATTATGTAGGCCATGGAATAACTGTGACATTTTCAGCTTCCAGGAAGTGTACAGATCCTTGCGACATGGGTCGTGCATTATCATGCTGAAACATGAGGTGATGGCGGCGGATAAATGGCACGACAATGGGCCTCAGGATCTCATCACGGTATCTCTTTGCATTCAAATGCCAACGATAAAATGCTATTTTGTTTGTTGTCCGTAGCTTATGCCTGACCATACCATAACTGTTCACAACGTTGACATCAGCAAACCGCTCCCGCACACGACGCCATACTACACGCTGTTTGCCATCTGCCCAGTACAGTTGAAACTGGGATTTATCCATGAAGAGCATACTTCCCCAGTGTGCCGGTGACCATCAAAAGGTGAGCATTTGCCCACTGAAGTCGGTTACGATGCCGAACTGCAGTCAGGTCAAGACCCGGGTGAGGACCCAGGTCAAGACCCGGGTGAGGACCCAGGTGAGGACCCAGGTGAGGACCCAGGTGAGGACCCAGGTGAGGACGACGAACACGTAGATGAGCTTCCCTGAGACGGTTTGATAGTTTTGTGCAGAAATTATTCGGTTGTACAAAACCCACATTTCATCAGCAGCTGTCCGGGTGGCTGGTCTCAAACGATCCGATAGGTGAAGAAGCCAGATGTGGAGGTACTGGACTGGAGTGGTTACACGTGGTCTGCAGTTGAGGCCGGTTGGACCTACTGCCAAATTCTCTAAAAACGACGTTGGAGACGGCTTATGGTAGAGAAATGAACATTCAATTCCGTGGCAACAGCTCTGGTGGACATTCCTGCAGTCAGCATGCCAATTGCACACTCCCTCAAAACTTGGGAGACATCTGTGGCATTGTGTTGTGTGACAAAACTGCCTTTTATTGTCCCCAGCACAGGGTGCACCTGTGTAATGATCATGCTGTTTAATCAGCTTCTTGATATACCTCACCTATCAGGTGGATAGATTATCTTGACAAAGGAGAAATGTTCACTTACAGGGATGTAAATAAAATTTAAGAGAAATAAGCTTTTTGTGCATATGGAACATTTCTGGGATCTTTTATTTCAGCTCATAAAACATGGGACCAACACTTTACATATTGCATTTATATATTTTGTTCAGTATAGGAGTTAACAGCAACACGTAACTAGAAGGTTCCAGGTATAATGGGAATATTGTAGTGTAGATATCTGGTTCCCTGGAGACCAGGGCTCAATTCAGAATTAAGGAATTGACTCCCATTCAACTCATGAGTTGAAATTCGAATTGAACACACCCCAAATGATGTAGAATTAGAATTTGAGTGACAGGAAGTATACTTTTATTCAGTGCAATTCAAAGAAATTCCACTCAGTCATAGAACATGACTTTTTTATTTATACAATTATATTTCCACCAAACATTTCATTTGTTTGGCTTCTATTTGATGGCTTTAGGGAAATGTAGTATTTTCCCCATATTGAACAGAATTTAAGTGATTAATTAAATATAATAACTTATAATATTCACATACAGGTTTTGTTCTCCTTGATCATTACATTTTAAGAGTTAGTGCTGAAAATCAATTGTTTCAACAATATTTTATATGCATGTATATAAAAGACATGTTTTATGTACAAAACGTGTATTTGTATAGACTACACTAATATAGAATAGAAGAGGCACTTGAATTTAATTGAATTTCATTGAATTCAATTCCATTTCCTTTAATTAAAATTGCAATTCTGTATCCTGTTCACTACGTCAATTAAAATGAATTTCAAATTCAATAATTGAATTGGATATTATGAGGCATTCTCAATTCTGAACTGAGCTCAACACTGCTGGGGACCAGTGATATAAGATATACTTTCTTAGTCCATACAGGATCCAACCCACCTTATACACACAAACAAATTAGGTTGGAGAGGCTGGAGCAGATCTTCACTTACAGTGCATTCGGGAAAGTATTCAGACCCCTTGAATTTTTCCACTTTGTTATGTTACAGCCTTATTCTAAAATGGATTACATAATTTTTTTTCCCCTTATCAATCTACACAATACCCCATAATGACAAAGCGAAAACAGGTTTAGACATTTTTGCAACTGTATTACAAATAAAAAACAAATACCTTATTTACGTAAGTATTCAGATCCTTTGCTATGAGAGTCAAAATTGACCTCAGGTGTATCCTGTTTCCATTGATCATCCTTGAGATGTTTCTACAACTTGATTGGAATCCACCTGTGGTAAATTATCCAATCCACCTCGTGGTCTGTATTGTCCAATTACAGAACATACAAGTCACGTGATCCGTTAGCGCACACATGAAGTGCCATCACGTGTTCGCCATCAGATCACGTGACTTGTATCTGCCCTGTGATTGGACGATACAGCAGCTATCAAGAACCATATGAGAAGCAGCAGGATACCTTTAATTTGACTCTCAGGGACCAGTATCATCCCTCTTTCCTCCTCCTTGTTGTCACCCCTCCTTCATCCTTTATCACCCCCTACCCTCTCCCATGTTCCTTCCCTCCTCTCCTCCCTTGCATCCATAGGCAAACACAGGGCTCAACTTGGCTGACCAATCAAAGGGCAGCATGGTGGAGGTAAACCACGGTGCCCTGTTGGTCAGTTGAGCCAATCGGTTTGTTGCCTATGGATGCCAAGCCGAGGAGGAAAGGGGAGAGAGGGAGAGGAATGGGGAAAGGGGAGAGGAGGATAGATAATGTGGAGAGAGGAGGAGATGAGAGAGGAGGAGAAAGTATGAGGAGGAGGAGAGAGGAAGGGAGACAGGGATGAGGAAAGGGGATGAGAGAGGGGAGGTGAGAAGGGAGAGAGGAGAGGGAACGTATGGGGGAGGGGAGAGATAGTATTTATGAGGAGGAGAATGTGGGAGTAGGAGGAATGTGAGGGAAAATTTAGGAGGAGAGTTGGCTGAGAGAGGGGAGGAGAGTAATACGTAGGAGGAGAGGGAGAGAGCAGAGAGGAGGAGGCAAGAGGGAGAGAGGAGAAGAGGAGGGGGAGGAGAGAGAGAGAGGGGAGGAGAAGGGAGAGGAGGAGAGAGGAGAACGTATGGGGAGAGGAGGAGAGGAGAGAGAGAGAGGGGAGGAGAGGAGATGAGGGAGAGGAGGAGAGGAGATGGAGAGAGGGGAGAGGAGGATGCGAGAGGGAGATAGAGGACGACAAGTAGGGGAGGAGAAACGTATGGGGAGAGGAGAAAGTATGGGGAGAGGAGGCGAGAATGTGGAGAGAGGAGTGAGGAGGAGGGATGGCGAGGAGGAGAACGTATGAGGAGGAGCGAGTGAGGGGGAGGAGGGGAGGGAGAGGGACTGGCCAAGAGGAGGGGGAGAGAGTGGAATGCGTAGAGGAGGGAGGCTCTATCAAAGATGGGAGATCTTGTTCTGTGCGTGTGATCATTCCAACGTTGGAGCTGTGAAGGTCGAAAAGTCTGTGGTCTGGTTCTTCTATCCTGGTGGGGACCTGAAATCCCCAAAGGTCCCCACCAGGATAGTAAAACAAGAAATTATCCCTTGTGGGGGCATTTCCCACATCCCCAGGAGGACAAAGGCTATTTTACGCTTAGGGGTTAGGCTTAGGGTTACAATTAGGGTAAGGTTTAGGGGTTAAGGGTTTTGAATGGAAATACATTTTAGGTCCACACGAGGATAGAAAAACAGGTGTGTGTGTATTTTTTTCACTCACCGAGGTTTGGCGATGCTGTTGTGAAGGTCCTATGCAGAGAATCCTTCTATCAGGAGAAAAACACAAGTTTCAAGCAGAGGATTATATACAGTGCCTTCAGAGAGTATTCACACCCCTTGACTTTTTCTAAATGTTTGTGTGACAGACTGAATTTAAAATGGACTAAATTGAGACTTGTCACTAGCCTATACACAATACCCCATAATATCAGTGGAATAGCTTTTACAATTAATAAAAAATGAAAAACTGAAATGTCTTGAGTCAATAAGTATTCAACCCCTTTGTTATGGCAAGCCTAAATAAGTTCAGGAGTAAAAAAGTGCTTAACAAGTTACATATATTTATTTATTTAACTAGGCAAGTCAGTTAAGAACGAATTCTTATTTACAATGACAGCCTACCAAAAGGCAAAAGGCCTCCTGCGGGGACGGGGGCTGGGATTAAAAATAGTGTAATGTGGACTCACTCTTTGTGCAATAATAGTGTTTAACATGATTTTTGAATGACTACATCAGCTCTGTACTGCACACATACAATTATCTGTAAGGTCCCTCAGTCGAGCAGTGAATTTCAAGCACAGATTCAACCACAATGACCAGGGAGGTTTTCCAATGCCTCACAAAGAAGAAGGGCACCTATTGGTAGATGGGTAAAAATAAAAAAGCAGACATTTAATACCCCTTTGAGCATGGTGAAGTTATTAATTACACTTTGGATGGTGTATCAATACACCCAGTCACTACAAATATAAATGCGTCCTTCCTATCTCAGTTGCCGGAGAGGAAGGAAACCGCTCAGGGATTTCACCATGAGGCCAATGGTGACTTTACAACAGTTACAGAGTTTAATAGCTGTGATAGGAGAAACCTGAGGATGGATCAACAACATTGTAGTTACTCCACAATACTAACCTAATTGATAGAGTGAAAAGGAAGCCTGTACAGCAGGGGTGTCAAACTCATTTTAGCTCAGGGGCCACATGGAGGAAAATCTATTCCCAAGTGGGCCGGACCGGAAAAATCATGGTGTGTATATATAACTTAAAAACAACAACTTCAGATTGTTTTCTTTGTTTTAATACGATCAACATACAACATAAAGCTGGAGCCTGAGGACAGTGTGTCCAAAATAGTACAAGCACAACATCACTATTAATCATAAAACACGTCAAGTTTATTTGAAAATTCTAAAGAAAAAGAACACACAAACACACAATGCCTCAGTGATTAACAGAACTGTTTCACAGATCACAGAACTATATCAGGGTGTCATTTCTCAGGCAGAAATGTAGATAAAAATAATGAAATCCTGTTCCCCAAACAAGTGCAAGAACCAGAGTCAAGAATAGGTTAAATATACAAATAAAATAAAATCAATTAAAAACAATAGCACATCAATATAAAAACATATAAACATAAAGCTGGAGCCTGAGGACAGTGTCCAAAAGCACAACATCACTATTAATCATAAAACACCTCAAGTTATTTGAAAGTTCTGAGGACAAAGAACACACAAACACACAATGCCTCAGTGATTAACAGAACTGTTTCACAGATCACAGAACTACATCAGGGTGTCATTTCTCAGGCAGAAATGTAGATAAAAATAATGAAATCCTGTTCCCCAAACAAGTGCAAGAACCACAGAGTCAAGAATAGGTTAAATATACAAATAAAATAAAATCAATTAAAAACAATAGCACATCAATATAAAAACATATAAACATAAAGCTGGAGCCTGAGGACAGTGTCCAAAAGCACAACATCACTATTAATCATAAAACACCTCAAGTTATTTGAAAGTTCTGAGGACAAAGAACACACAAACACACAATGCCTCAGTGATTCACAGAAGTAGATCACAGATCACAGAACTATATCAGGGTGTCATTTCTCAGGCAGAAATGTAGATAAAAATAATGAAATCCTGTTCCCCAAACAAGTGCAAGAACCAGAGTCAAGAATAGGTTAAATATAAAAATAAAATAAAATCAATTAAAAACAATAGCACATCAACATAAAAACATATAAACATAAATCTGAAAGCGTTGCTCAAACTCCCGTAACAGTCCCGTTATTTTATCTTTGAACCGCTTCATGTCTGCCACATGTTGGGTCGCGCACACATTTTTCAGACAGGGGAAGTGAGCTGCATCACCACCGGCAAGTTGCGTCTCCCACAATGACAGCTTCAACTTGAAAGAACGTATGCTGTCATAATACTGCGTGACAACTTTGTTGCGCCCTTGCAGCTGTTTGTTCAAGTTATTCAGGTGCTCTGTAACATCCACCATAAATGCAAGGTCCTGCATCCATTCTGCGGAATGAAATTCTAACACTGGTTTGCCCTTTTCTTCCATGAACTGTTCAATTTCTTCTCGTAAATCAAAGAAACGCCTCAGCACCTCGGCTTAACCATCTTACCTCAGTGTGGTATGGCAGGCCATAGATGTGGTCTTTCTCTCTGAGAAGGCTGTCAAACTGACGGTGATTCAGGCTTCTGGATCGGATGAAATTAACAGTTTGGATGACCACCTTCATGACGTTATCCATCTTTAATGACTTGCAACACAAAGCCTCCTGGTGCAAAATACAGTGAAAAGTCAAAAAATCACGTCCTCCATTTGCAGATTGCACTTTCTCTCTGAACTTTGTCACAACGCCTGCTTTTTTCCCGATCATTGAGGGCGCACCATCTGTAGCCAGGCTGACAGCGCGGGACCAGTCCACTCCGACCCTGTCCAGCGCGCCGACGAGTGCGGTAAAAATATCAGCTGCTGTCGTTGTATCTGTCATCGGCACCAACTCCATGAACTCCTCGGTGACGGTCAATGTGTCATCAACTCCGCGGATGAAAATGGCCAGTTGTGCAACATCTGTAATGTCCGTGCTTTCATCAATTGCAACCGAAAACGCAATAAATGACTTTACTTTTTGCTTCAACTGGCTGTCCAAATCCACTGAAAGATCGGAAATCCTGTCTGCAACTGTGTTTCTTGTCAGGCTGATATTTGCAAAAGCCTGCCGCTTTTCAGGGCACACAATCTCCGCTGCCTTCATCATGCATGTTTTTACAAATTCACCCTCACTAAATGGTTTTGAAGCCACTGCGATTTCATTAGCAATGAGGTAGCTAGCTTTCACTGCAGCGTCACTGATGTCTCGGCTGTGAGTAAACTCAGACTGCTGTTTCTTCAGACCCGCCAACAGTTCATTCACCTTCTCTCATCTCCGCTGTCCTTGAAAGTTGTCATATTTGTCAGCATGAAGACTCACATAGTGGCGACAAAGGTTATATTCTTTCAGCACTGCAACATGCTCTGAACACACCAAACATACAGCTTTCCCATTCAATTCTATATGATGACCATTTTTCTTGGAACACTCTGCGTCCACTTTTCTCTTTTTTGACAGAGACATATTGGGGCAATGAGGGTGCCAAAGCACATAATGTTAAAAGTAGAAGCCGTAATAAATATCGCGGGCAAAACAAAGTAGCTCATTGGCTGCACGTGCTTGACCTACTTGCTCTGCCCCGGTATAAACAGTTTGCTTAACACAATTGCTATTGCGCCATCCAGTGGACGCAATTGGAACAGCAGTTTATTTTATTGAAAAATTGCAGCGCATTATTATACAAATTTTTTTTTTTTTTTTTTTTAATCATCTCGCGGGCCGGATTAAACCCGTTTGCGGGCCTGATCCGGCCCGTGGGCCGGACGTTTGACACCCCTGCTGTACAGAATATAAATATTCCAAAACATGCATCCTGTTTGCAACAAGGCACTAAAGTAAAACTGCAAAAAAATTGTCAAAGCAATTAACACTCTGTATTGAGGAAAAAAAGTTTGTTTGGGGCAAATCCAATCCAATGCATTACCGAGTACCACTCTCCATATTTTCAAGCCTAGTGGTGGCTGCATCATGTTATGGGTATGCTTGTAATCGTTAAGGACTTGGGTTTTTCAGGATAAAAAAAAAAACGGAATGGAGCTAAGCACACAGGCAAAATCCTAGAGGAAAACCTGGTTCAGTCTGCTTTCCATTAGACTCTGGGAGATGAATTCACCTTTCAGCAGGACAATAACCTAAAACCCAAGGCCAAATCTAAACTGTAGTTGCTTACCAAGAAGACAGTGGATGTTCCTTAGTGGGCGAATTACAGTTTTTACTTAAATCTGCTTGAAAATCTATGGCAAAACCTGAAAATGGTTGTCTAGCAATGATCAACAACCAATTTGACAGAGCTTGAAAAATGTTGAAAGGAATAATGGGCAAATGTTGCCCGATCCAGGTGTGGCAAGCTGTTTGAGATTTACCCAGAAAGACTCACAGCTGTAACCGCTGCCAAAGGTGATTTTAACATGTATTGACTCAGGGGGTTGAACACTTATCTAATTAAGATACATTAGTGTTTTTATTTTATTTATTTATTTACAAAATGTTTTTCTTTTAAATCTTCCACTGACAAAAAAATGACAATTCAATCCATTTTAATCCCACTTTGTAACAACAAAATGTGGGTAAAAATCAAGGGGTGGGAATACTTTCTGAAGGCAATGTAACAGAGCAAAGATATTGACCATGTTAAATTGGAGGGAGAGAGAACAATTTAGACAGTAGCGTTGGCAAAACGAAGAAGATGCTTGCTTGTAACTGCAAGGTTACATTTTGGGTCTAAATGAGTAGAGGGAGTAACTAAAAGTAAAATTTAGTTTAAACATACCTTGTTCTTGCTGCGGTTACACTCCGTTAGTAGGGTCCGACAACTCTTGTGGACGTTCACTGCACAGTCTGCAAAACAGAGAGAGGAGAAATGAGTCAACTTTATTTTCAGTTACAAAACAAATCTAAAAATAAATTTGAACAGCTACTCGACAGCACTGGAGTAACATCGAGTAAATTACAAAAAAATGCTAATTCATTTCCTATTTTCCCCAAACTTTCAGCACACGTCTTCCAAGATGTCAGGCACATATACAGTGCCTTCGGAAAGTATTCAAACCCCTTGACTTTTTACACATTTCGTTACGTTACAGCCTTATTCTAAAATTAAATTTTGTTCTCAGTAATCTACACACAATACCCCATCATGACAAAGCGAGAACAGGTTTAGACATTTTTGCACATTTATTAATACTAAAACAGAAATACCTTATTTACATAAATATTCAGACCCTTTGTTATGAGACTCGAAATTGAGCTCAGGTGCATCCTGTTTCCATTGATCATCCTTGAGATGTTTCTACAACTTGATTGGAGTCCACCTGTGGTAAATTCAATTGATTGGACATGATTTGGAAAGGCACACACCTGTCTATATAAGGTCCCACAGATGACAGTGCATGTCAGAGAATAAAACCAAGCCAGTGAACTCAGAGAGCTCCAGAGTTCCTCTGTGGAGATGGGAGAACCTTCCAGAAGGACAACCATCTCTGCAGCACTCCACCAATCAGGCCTTTATGGTAGAGTGGCCAGACGGAAGCCACTCATTAAAATGTACATGACAGCCCGCTTGGAGTTTGCCAAAAGGCACCTAAAGGACTCTCAGACCATGAGAAACAAGATTCTCTGGTCTGATGAAACCAAGATTGAACTCTTTGGCCTGAATGCCAAGCATCCCGTCTGGAGGAAACCTGCCACCATCCCTACGGTGAAGCATGGTGGTGGCAGCATCATGCTGTGGGGATGTTTTTCAGCGGCAGGGACTGGGAGACTAGTCAGGATCGAAGGAAAGATGAACGGCGCAAAGTACAGAGAGATCCTTGATGAAAACCTGCTCCAGAGCGCTCAGGACCTCAGACTGGGGCGAAGGTTCACTTTCCAACAGGACAACGACCCTAACCACACAGCCAAGACAATGCAGGAGTGGCTTTGGGACAAGTCTCAATGACCTTGAGTGGCCCAGCCAGAGCCCGGACTTGAACCCGATCTAACATCTCTGGAGAGACCTGAAAATAGCTGTGTAGCGACACTCCCATCCAACCTGACAGAGCTTGAGAGGATCTGCAGAGAAGAATGGGAGAAACTCCCCAAATACAGGTGTGCCAAGCTTGTAGCGTCAAACCCAAGAAGACTCGATGCTGTAATCGCTGCCAAAGATGCTTCAACAAAGTACTGAGTAAAGTTGTTTTATTTTTAATAAATTAGCAAAAATGTCCAAAAAAACTATTTTTGCTTGGTCATTATGGGGTATTGTGTGTAGATTTTTTATTTTTTATTTTTTTAGAATAAGGCTGTAACATAACAAAATGTGGAAAAAGTCAAGGGGTCTGAATACTTTCACACTTGGTATTGCATATTTGAAAAATGTACCTGGATTCCTTACCACCCCACTAAATGTCACTGCCGAAACAATGAAAAAGTAGCAATAAAAGGGAGAACCATGCACAGTGCTGATCATTTTGATTAACTTACAACGAAATTATTTTCATACCAAATTAACAATTGTTTTATTTTTTAATTAACTGATTTATACCAGGAAATTGGTCCCAAGATCCAGACCCAGAGAGTTGGGACCATGACAAGTTAACAATTTCACCACTAGATCAGGAGCACAGTAGAGCACAGTACAGTAGAACCCAGTACAGTAGAACACAGTACAGTAGAACACAGTACAGTAGAACCCAGTACAGTAGAACACAGTACAGTAGAACCCAGTACAGTAGAACCCAGTACAGTAGAACACAGTACAGTAGAACCCAGTACAGTAGAACACAGTACAGTAGAACACAGTACAGTAGAACCCAGTACAGTAGAACCCAGTACAGTAGAACCCAGTACAGTAGAACCCAGTACAGTAGAACACAGTACAGTACATTACAGTACAGTAGAACCCAGTACAGTAGAGCACAGTACATTACAGTACAGTAGGGTACAGCACAGTATACAGTCCCTGCCTCTGAAAAACATCCCCACAGCATGATGCTGCCACCACCATGCTTCACCGTAGGGATGGTATTGGCCAGGTGATGAGCAGTGCCTGGTTTCCTCCAGATGTGACGCTTGGCATTCAGGCCAAAGAGTTCAATCTTAGTTTCATCAGACCAGAGAATCTGCACTCACTGATTGTCTGGATAAGAGCGTCTGCTAAATGACTAAAATGTAATGGTTTGAGAGTCCAAAAACCTGTTTTTGCACTATGTCATTATGGGGTATTTATTGTGTGTAGATTGATGAGGAAATTATTTTATTTAATCAATTTGAGAATAAGTCTAACGTAACAGAAAGGGAAAGGGTCTGAATACTTTCCCAATGCATTGTAGCTTGTTTCTCGTCCCAGGATAGGCAGAAAAATCACAATATTCACTTAACTAAGCCTACAAAAATAGCACTGTTGGGCAATTGGGAAAGCCATAGTCAATCAATTAACAATACTCTTAGCAAAAATATTCCACTTTAATTTACAATCTGTGGACACTACGAGATTAGATGCGTTCAGAATTAATGTAAGACATCCCTGCACTGTTAAAAAAATATACATGGCACATGGAAACCAAGAGAGGGCAGTCTACGGAGCTGGGTGGGATGGGCTGAGAGTAGTTTAGCAGTGGGATTAAAAACTCATGCATGATCTGTGATAGTTAGGACCAAAAATACCATATATCAATCATGTATAACAGATATGTCTGAGTACCATTTTGTGTGTAATGTGCATATCAAACTGTATTTCTGCCATGTAATACTACGTAAAAAAATAAATAAAGCAGGTCCTGTGGGTGGGTTGCGGGTTGGGATAAATGTGTAACGTCTGTTGGTTTGCTTGTTTTTGTAAAAAATAAAAATAAAAAAGAGTTCTAAAATATCTCAGCACACACATTAGAAAAGTAGCACATTTCAGAGTTGACCCATCAGGGTTTAGTTCGGTCTGTGTTTGGCAACGGCTGAGTGAGTACCAGGGTACTCTGCTGCTGAAAAGGCCTGGCAGAGGGGGACAGCAAGAATGATTCAGTAATGGTGTGGCGAGGGGCCGATAGTGAGCCAACACTGACCAGCCAGCCAGCGCACCAAGTCTGGAACCAACAGGACCCTCAACAGCTTCTACCCCAAAGCCATAAGACTTCTAAACAAGAGCGCTAAATAGCTAATCAAATGGCTACCCGGACTACCTGCATTGACCCTTTTTTACTCCAACTATCTTGCACCGACTCTATCCACACACACTGGACTCTACCAACCCACACACACACACTACCAGTCAAAAGTTTGGACACGCCTACTCATTCAAGGGTTTTTCTTTATTTTACAATTTTTTACATTGTAGAATAATAGTAGAGACATCAAAACTATGAAATAACACACATGGAATCATGTAGTAACCAAAAATTTGTTTTATATTTTATATTTGAGATTCTTCAAATAGCCACCATTTGCCTTGATGACAGCTTTGCACACTCTTGGCATTCTCTCAACCAGCTTCATGAGGTAGTCACCTGGAATGCATTTCAATTAACAGGTGTGCCTTGTTAAAAGTTAATTTGTGGAATTTATTTCCTTCTTAATGTGTTTGAGCCAATCAGTTGTGTTGTATACAGGGGGGTATACAGAAGATGGTCCATATTATGGCAAGAACATCTCAAATAAGCAAAGAGAAACAACAGTCCATCATTACTTTAAGACATGAAGGTCAGTCAATACAGAACATTTCAAGAACTTTGAAAGTTTCTTCAAGTGCAGTCGCAAAAACCATCCATCAAGCGCTATGATGAAATTGGTTCTCATGAGGGCCGCCACAGGAATGGAAGACCCAGAGTTACCTCTGCTGCAGAGGATAAGTTCATTAGAGTTACCAGCCTCAGAAATTGCAGCCCAAATAAATGCTTCACAGAGTTCAAGTCACAGACACATCTCAACATCAACTGTTCAGAGGGGACTGTGTGAATCAGGCCTTCATGGTCGAATTTCTGCAAAGAAACCACTACTAGAGGAAACCAATAATAAGAAGAGACCTGCTTGGGCCAAGAAACACGAGCAATGGACATTAGACCGGTGGAAATGTGTCCTTTGGTCTGGAGTCCAAATTGGAGATTTTTGGTTCGAACCACAGTTTCTTTGTGAGATGCGGTGTGGGTGCACGGATGATCTCCGCATGTGAAGTTCCCACCGTAAAGCATGGAGGAGGTGTTATGGTGTGTGGCTGCTTTGCTGGTGACAGTCGGTGATTTATTTAGAATTCAAGGCACACTTAACCAGCATGGCTACCACAGCATTCTGCAGCGATACGCCATCCCATCTGGTTTGGGCTTAGTGGGACTATCATTTGTTTTTCAACAGGACAATGACCCAACACACCTCCAGGCTGTGTAAGGGCTATTTTACCAAGAAGGAGAGTGATGGAGTGCTGCATCAGATGACCTGGCCTCCACAATCCCCCGACCTCAACCCTATTGAGATGGTTTTGAGTCGAACAGCAGAGTGATGGAAAAGCAGCCAACAAGTGCTCAGCATATGTGGGAACTCCTTCAAGACTGTTGGAAAAGCATTCCAGGTGAAGCTGGTTGAGAGAATGCCAAGAGTGTGCAAAGCTGTCATCAAGGCAAAGGGTGGCTATTTGAAGAATCTCAAATATAAAATATAAAACACATTTTTGGTTTCTACATGATTCCATGTGTTATTTCATAGTGTTGATGTCTTCACTATTATTCCACAATGTAGAAAATAGTAAAAATAAAGAAAAACCCTTGAATGAGTAGGTGTTCTAAAACTTTTGACCGGTAGTGTACATACTGGACGCCACACACACTTTCACACTCAACACATACACTGTTGCTACTGTCTATTATCTAGTCCCTTTACCCCTACCTACAGTATACTGCTGCTACTGTCTATTATCTATCCTGTTGACTAGTCACTTCACCCTTCCCTACAGTATACTGTTGCTACTGTCTATTATCTAGTCACTTTACCCCTACCTACAGTATACTGCTGCTACTGTCTATTATCTATCCTGTTGCCTAGTCACTTTACCCCTACCTACAGTATACTGCTGCTACTGTCTATTATCTATCCTGTTGACTAGTCACTTCACCCTTCCCTACAGTATACTGTTGCTACTGTCTATTATCTAGTCACTTTACCCCTACCTACAGTATACTGCTGCTACTGTCTATTATCTATCCTGTTGTCTAGTCACTTTACCCCTACCTACAGTATACTGCTGCTACTGTCTATTATCTATCCTGTTGTCTAGTCACTTTACCCCTACCTACAGTATACTGCTGCTACTGTCTTTTATCTATCCTGTTGCCTAGTTACTTTACCCCTACCTACTATACTGCTGCACTGTCTATTACGTATCCTGTTGTCCTAGTCACTTTACCCCTACCTACAATATACTGCTGCTACTGTCTATTATCTATCCTGTTGTCTAGTCACTTTACCCCTACCTACAGTATACTGCTGCTACTGTCTATTATCTATCCTGTTGCCTAGTCACTTTACCCCTACCTACAGTATACTGCTGCTACTGTCTATTATCTATCCTGTTGTCTAGTCCACTTTACCCCTACCTACAGTATACTGCTGCTACTGTCTATTATCTAGTCACTTTACCCCTACTACAATATACTGCCTGCTAACGGTCCTATTATCTATCCTGTTGTCCTAGTCACTTTACCACCTACCGACAATAATACTGCTGCTACTGTCTATTATTATCCTGTTGTCTAGTCACTTTACCCCCTACCTACAATATACTGCGTGTGCTACTGTCTATTATCTATCCTGTTTTCTAGTCACTTACCCCTACCCCTACAGTATACTGGCTGCTACTGTCTATTATCTATCCTGTTGCCTAGTCACTTTACCCCTACCTACATAGACTGCTGCTACGGTCCTATTATCTATTCCTGTTGACTAGTCACTTTACCCCTACCCTACAAGAATACTGCTGCTGGCTATGATCCTACCTGTTGTCTATTCACTTTAACCCCTACCTACAAGATACTGCTGCTACTGTCTATTATCTATCCTGTTGTCCAGTCACTTCAACCCCTACCTACAATATACTGCTGCTACTGTCCTATTATCTATCCTGTTGTCTAGTCACTGTATACCCCTTACCTACAATATCCGCTGCTATGTCTATTATCGATCCTGTTGCCTAGTCACTTTACCCCTACCTACAGTATACTGCGGCTACTGTTCTATTATCTATCCTGTTGTCTAGTCACTTTCACCCTTCCCGACAGTATACATGTTGCTACTGTCTATTAGCTAGTCACTTTGAACCTCCTACCTACAGTATACTGCTGCTACTGTCTATTATCTATCCTGTTTCCTAGTCACTTTTAAACCCCTACCTCGCCGTATACGCTCTACGTCTATATCTATCCTGTTTGCCTGTTACTTTACCCCTACCTACAGTAACTGCTGCTACTGTCTATTATCTATCCTGTTGTTATCACTTCACACCTACCCCTTCCCTACAGTATACGGTCTGCTACTGTCTATTATCTATCCTGTTGTCCTAGCCCCACTTTCCCCTACCTGCAGTATACTAGCTGCTAACAGTTCTATACATATCTATTGCCTGTTTTGCCGTTGAGCGGGACTGTTACCCCTAACACGTCCATGTATAGCTGCTTTGCTTGAAACTGGGGAAGTAAGGAATCTGTCCTCTAGTGCTAGCCGGTTGCTTAGTCACTTCAACCCTTCCCTACTCATGTAGGTATGGGGGGGCTGTGTGCGTGCGGGACCTACATCACCTCTATACATCAGACATACACACTGCTAGGATGTGCAACAAACAGGGCATGCGATTAGTGAACATATCATCAGCTAGAGGTCTATAGTTATCGCTGTTATGCGCTGTGCACGTGGCGCCTACACATATGAGATAGAGAACATATGCTGCGTCTAGAGTCCTTTATCTAGCCGAGAATGATACGATCACATCCCGGGAGCACATACCTGAGCGGTATAAACTGGCTAAAAGAACGTTGTGCTATGTGTGGCTAAAGCCTTGGGAGTCGTGCGCTATCACTATAATAAAGCCTAAACATGACAAGGGTACGATGACATATGCAAGGACTTCGATGAGCTGGAGACGTGGGTGGCGGGAGTCACTGGTACGGCTTGCGATCAGTAGAGCTAAGCGATCTGACTGGAGGGGTGGTCTATTAGCGCATCCACGTGTGACAAGATCCCAACTTGAGACGCACCTACCGTGGTAGCTGGAACTAGTGCTAACCCTACCTGTGCGTGAGATTATCTAAGACAACTGGGTGGTCGTCCCACTGGACCCCACCTACATATACTGCTGCTACTGTCTATATCTATCCTGTGTCGAGTCACTGTACCCCTCCTACAGTATCACTGCTGCTACTGTCTATTATCTATCCTGTTGGCTAGTCACTTTAAACCCCCTACCTACAGTATACTGCTGCGACTGTCTATTAATCTAACCCTGTTTTCTAGTCCCTTACCCCTACCTCAGTATACTTGCTGCTGCGTCTATTATCTATCCGGGTCTCGTCCCTTTACCCCTACCTACAGTATACTGCTGCTACGGTCGATGTCTATCCTGTTTGTCTAGTCACTTTACCCCTACATACAGTATCGCTTGCACGTGTCTAATTATCTATCACTGTTGCTAGTCACTTTACCCCTACCTACAGTATACGCTGCTAACGGTCTAGTTACTATCCTTTCGTCTAGTCACTTTTACCCCCTACCAACTTACAGTATACTGCTGACTACTGGTCTATTAGTCTAGCTGTTGTCCAGTTCCCTTGTACCCCTACCTACGTATACTGCTGGGTTACTGTCTAGTTATCTCTCCTGTCGCCTAGAATCACTTTATCCCTCCCTACAGTACTACTGCTGCTACCTGTCTATTTCTATCCTGTGTCCTTGAGTCACTTTAATCCGTGCTACCTTAACAGTATACTGCTGCTATGTCATTATCTCTCTGTTGTCGAGTCACCTCACCCTTCCTACAGTATACTGCTGCTACTGTCTATTATCTGATCCTGTGTCTAGTCACTTTAAACCTACCCCTACCTAGAGTAGACTGCTTGCTACTTTCTATTACGATCCTGGTGCCTAGTCACTTTACCCCTACCTACGTATTACTGCGTGCTAACTGTCTAGATCTATCCTGTTGTCTCTAGTCACTTTACCCCTACCTACAGTATCTGCTGTACTTGTCTCTTATCTATCCCTTTGTTCTAGTCCTTTACCCCTACCTACAGTATACTCCTGGCTGCTAACTTGTCTATATCTATCCTTTGACTAGGCCACTTTACCACCCCTACCTACCGTATACTGCTGCTACTGTCTATTACTACCTGTTGCCTAGTTACTTAACGCTACCCCTACCTACAGTATACGCTGCTACTGGTCTATTATCTATCCTTGTTCCTAGTTCAATTACCCTACCTACAGTATCCTGCTGGCTACTGTGCTATTATCTATCCTGTTTGCCTAGTCACCTTTCCCCTACCTACATATACTGCTGCCTAACGTCTATTATCTATCCTGTTGCCTAGTTTACTTTACCCCTACCTACCGTATATCTCGCTGCTACTGTCTATAATTCTATCCTGTTGTCTAGTCACTTCACCCTTTCCCTCAGATAACTGCTGCTACTGTCTCTTATCTATCCTGTTGTCTAGTCACTTAACCGCCCGACTACAGTATAATGCTAGCTACTGTCTACTATCTATCCTTTTGCCTAGGCACTTTACGCACCCTGACCTACAGTATACTGTGCCTACACTGTCTATTATCTATCCTGTTGACTATCCCTGTCACCTTCCCTACAGGATACTGCTTCTGCTGTCTATTATCTAGTCACTTTACCCCCTAACCTACCGTATCTGCTGCTACTGTCTATTATCTATCCTGTTGCCTAGTTCACGTTACCCCTACCTACAGTATCTGCTGCTAACTGTCTATTATCTAGCCTGTTTTGTCCTAGTCCACTTTACCCCTACCTACAGTTACTGCTGCCTACTGTCTATTATCTATCCTGTCGCCTAGTCAACTTTATCCCTACCTACAGTAACTGCTGGCTGTTCCCTATTATCTATCCTGTTGTCCTAGTCACTTTGACCCTACCTACATATACTGCAGCTATGTCATTAATCTAGCTGTTTGCCATTAGTCACTTTATAATTACCAACCCCTACCTACAGTAATGACTGCAGGCTACTGCTATATCTACTCCTTTGTCTAGTCCTTTACCATTCAACCCCCTACCTACAGTAATACTGCTGCTACTGTCTAATTATCTATATCCTGTTTTCTGTCACTATTACCCCTACCTACGTATACTGCTGCTACTGTCTATTATCTATCCTGTTGTCTAGCACTTTGAACCCTACCACAGTATACTGCTGCCTATGTCTATACTTATCCTGTTTTGTCTAGTCACTTTACCCACCCCTACCTACAGATACTGCTGCTGCTGTCTCTTTATCTATCCTGTTGTCCTAGCTCCTTTACCCCTACCTACAGCTAACTTCTGCTACTGTCTTATATGCTATCCTGTTGTCTAGTCACTTTACCCCTACCTAAGTATACTGCTGCTACTGACTATATCTATCCTGTTTGGCCTAGTCACTTTACCCCACCTACAGTATACTGCTGCTACTGTCTATGATCTATTCCTGTTGTCTAGTCACTTTTACCCCCCGACCACAGTATACTGCTGCTACTGTCTATTATCTATCCTGTTTCCTAGTCCTCGTTACCCCTACCTACAGTAATACTGCTTGTTACTGTCTATTATATATCCGTCGCCTAGTTCACTTTATCCCTACCTACAGTATACTGGCTGCTATACTGTCCTATTATCTATCCGTTGTCTATTCACTTTATCCCCTACCTACAGTATAACTGCTGACATACTGTCTATTATCTATCCTGTTGTTCTACGTCACTTCACACCTTCCCTACATATACTGCTGCACTGTCTATTATCTTCCTGTTGTCTAGTCACTTTAAGGTTACCCCTACCCTACAGTTACTTGCTGCTCTGATCTATTATCTTTCCTGTTGCCTAGTCACTTTACCCCTACCTACAGTATACTGCTGCTACTGTCTATTATCTATCCTGTGTCTAGTCACTTTACCCCCTACCCTACAGTATCGGCCTGCTATACTGTCTATTATCTATCCTGTTGTCTAGTCACTTAACCACCTACCTACAGTATACTGCATGCTTACTGTCTATTTATCTATCCTGTTGACGAGTTCACTTTAACACCCCTACCTACAGTATACTGCTGCTACCTTTGGGTTTTTCCCCTATTATCTATCCTGTTGCCTAGTTACTTTACCCCTACCTACATATACTGCGCTACTGTCTATTATCTCTCCTGGTTTGCCTATTTACTTTACCCCTACCTACCGTATACTTCTGCTACTGTCTATTATCGAGCCCTGTTGCCTATCACGTTACCCTACCTACCGTATACTGCTGCTACTGTCTATTATCTATCCTGTTGACTAGTCACTGCTGCTTCCCCCTTCCTACAGTATACTGTTGCTACTGTCTATTATCTAGGCCTTTACACCTACCTACTTACTGCGCTCGGTCTTTATCTATCCTGTTTTGTCTAGATCCTTTAAAAAACCCCTACCTACATATACTGCTGCTACTGTCTATTATCTATCCTGTTGTCTAGTCAATTTACCCCTACCTCAGTATACTGCTTCTACTGGTCCTATTAGCTATCCTGTTGCCTAGTTTACTTTACCCCTACCTCCACGTATACTGCTGCTACTGTCTATTATCTATCCTTTTGTCTAGTCACTTTACCCCTACCTACACATAGACTGCTGCTACACTGTCTATTTCTATCCTGTCTAGTCACTTTACCCCTACCTACAGTATCCTGCGCTACTGTCCTATTATTAGTCACCTTGACCCCTACCTACAGTAAATACTGCTGCTACTGTCTATTATCTATCCTTTGTCTAGTCAACTTAACCCCTACCTACAATATACTTCTGCTACTGTCTATTATGCTATCCTGTTTGTCTATCCGTATACCCCCTACCTACAGTAATACTGCTGCTACTTGCTATTAATTATCCTGTTGCCTAGTTACTTTACCCCTATCCTACATTATCTGCTGCTGCTACTGTCTATTATCTTATCCTCTTGTCCTATTCACTTACCCCTACCTACAAGATATGCTGCGACGGCTATTATCTATCCTCGTGTGTCTAGTCACTTTACCCTCCCTACGTATATACTCTGCTACTGTCTATTATCTATCCTGTTGTCCTAGTCCCTTTAAACCCCATACCTACAATATACTGCTGCTTACTGTCTATTCATCTATCCTGTTGTCTTAGTCACTTTTACCCTACCTACAGTATACGTGCTGCTACGTCTATTATCTAATCCTGTTGCCTATTCATTTATTTACCCCTACTCCAATAACTGCTGCTACTGTCTATTATCTATCCTGTTTGACTAGTCACTTTAAAATTTACCCCTACCTCAATATACTTCTGCTGTCTAATTATCTATCCTTTGTTGTCTAGTCACTTTACCCCGACCTTACATTACTGCTGCTACTGTCTATTATCTATCCTGTTGCTAGTCACTTTAAACCCCCTACCTACAGTAATACGCTGCTACTATTATCTATTATCTATCCCTGTGCCTAGTCCTTTACCACTCCTACAGGTATAGCCTGGCTGCTACTGTCTATTATCTAGCCTGTTGCCTAGTCTTTCCCACTACCTAACAGTATACTGCTTCTACTGTCTATTGATCTATTCCTGTTGCCTGTCACTTCACCCTTCCTACAGTATCCTGCTGCTACTTGTCTATTAATCTATCCGTTGTCTAGTCACTTTAACCCTACCTACAGTTATACTGCTGCTACTGTTCTATGATCTATCCTTTTGCCTAGGCACTTTTCCCCCTACCTACAGTATACTGCTTGCTACTGTCTATTATCTATCACTTTAACCCCTAACTAACAGTATACTGGCTTGCTACGTCTATTATCTAATCCTGTTTGTCTATCCACTTTAACCCCTACCTACATCTACTGCTGCTACCGTCGATTATCTATCCTGTTGGTCTAGTCACTTACCCCACTACCTAGTATACTGCTTGCACTGTCTATATCTATCCTGTTGCCTAGTCACTTTACACCCCTCACCTACATTATATGTTGCTTACTGTCTATTATCTTAGTCACTTTAACCCCCTACCTTACATTATAACTGCTGCTACTGTCTATTATCTAATCCTGTGTCTAGTCACTTAAACCCCTACCTACAGTAATACTGCTGCTCCTGGTCTATTATCTATCCTGTTGAACTAGTCCCCTTTACCCCTACCTAAGTAATAAACTGCTGCTACTTCTATTATCTCATCCTGTTGACTATTCCCCCTTTAAACCCCTACCTTCAGTATCCTGCTGCTGCGCATTATCCTCCTGTTTTGCCTATGCACTTTACCCCTACCTCAGTATACTGCTAACGTCTATTATCTATCCTGTTTGCCTAGTCACTTTACCCCTACCTACAGTTACGTGCTACCTGTCTATTATCTATCCTGATTCCGCCTATCACTTCACCCCTACCTACGTATACTGCTGCTACTGTCTATTATCTATCCTGTTGCCTAGTCACTTTACAACCCCTACCTCCTATACGCTGCTACTGTCCTATTATCTATCCTGTTTTGTCTAGTCCCACTTTACCAAAAACCCCTACCTACAGTATCACTGCTGCTACTGTCTATTATCTATCCTGTTGTCTAGTCACTTTACCCCTACCTCACATAAATACTGCTTCTTACTGTCTATTACTATCCTGTTGCCTAGTCACTTTAACCCCTACCTACCATATACTGCTGCTACTGTCTATTATCTAATCCTGTTGTCTAGTCACTTTACCCCTCCTACAGTAATACGGCGCTACTGTCTATTATCTATCCTGTTGTCTGTCCAACTTTACCCCTAAACGTCCTACAGTATACTGCTGCTACTGTCTATTAATCTATCCTGTTGCCTAGTCACTATTACCCTAACCTACCGTATACTGCTACTGTCTATTATCTATCCCGTTGTCTAGTTCACTTTCCCTACCCTACATATACTGCCTGCTACTGTTCTATTATCTATCATGTTGCCTAGTCACTTTAAAACCCTCCTACAGTATACTCCTGCGACGGTCGATTAATCTATCCTGTTTGTCCTAGATCACTTTACCGCCCTACCTACAGTATACTGCTGCTACTGTCTAATTATCTATCCTTGTGCCTCGGTTACTTTACCCTACCTACATATATCTGCTGCTACTGTCTATTATCTAATCCTGTTGCCTAGTCCTTACCCCTACCTACAGTATACTGCTGCTACTTTCTATTATCTATCCTGTTTGCCTAGTCACTTTAACCCCTACCTACAGTATACTGCTGCTACTGGTCTATTATCTATCCTGTTCATAGTTACTTTAACCCTACCTACATATAACTGCTGCTACTGTCTATTATCTCTCCTGTTTGCCTAGCCACTTTCAACCCCTACCTCACAGTATACTACTGCTACTGTCTATTATCTATCCTGTTTGGTCTATTCCGCTTTAACCCCTACCTACGTATACTGCTATCTGTCTTCTTTCTAGTCCTGTTTCTATTCACTTACCCCTACCTACTATACTGCTGCTACTGTCTGAATTATTCTAGTCACTTTAACCCCTACCTACAGTATACTGTGCTACGTCTATTATCTATCCTGTTGTCTAGTCACTTTACCCCTCCCTACAGTATACTGCTGCTGTCTATTATCTATCCTGTTGTCTAGTCACTTTACCCCTACCTACAGTATACTGCTGCTACTGTCTATTATCATATCCTGTTGTCTAGTCACTTTACCCCTACCTACAGTATACTGCTGCTACTGTCTATTATCTATCCTGTTGTCAGTACTTTACCCCTACCTACAGTATACTGCTGCTCACTGTCATTATCATCCTGTTGTCTAGTCACTTTAACCCCTACCATACAGTATACTGCTGCTACTGTCTATTATCTATCCTGTTGTCTAGTCACTTTACCCCTACCTACAATATATGCTGCACTGTCTATTATCCGATCCGGTGTTTAGTCTACCTTTACACCCTAACCTACAGTATACTGCTGCTACTGTCATATTATCCTAGCCATGTTTGTCTAGTCACTTTACCCCTACCTACAGTATACTGCTGACTACTGTCTATTATCTATCCTGTTGTCCTAGTCACTTTACCCTACCTACAGTATACTGCTGCTACTGTCTATTATCCTATACCTGTTGGTCTAGTCAACTTTACCCCTACCTACAGTACTACTGAGCTGCTACTGTCTATATATCTATCCTGTTGTCTTAGTCAATCTTAACCCCTACCTACAGTATACTGCTGCTACTGTCTATTATCTATCCTGTTGCCTAGTTACTTTATATTTTTTTGTATAGTTGTGTATATTATATTTGTTTTATGACTATTTAATTCTAAGTCATCATCTCTACAGAGCTGCTGCCTATGCTGTCTGACAAAATCACAATCTTAGTAGTTATTCAAAGTAAATAAGGCATACTTTTATGATTGCTGAATACCAACTAGGCTATCAATCACTTAGATCATGTATTTTCAGGTAGATGCCTCGCGAAGCAACTGCTCTGTTTCCCTCTCATGCGTTCTTCGGTCTCTTTTATGTAATAGGTGTCAAAGAAACAGACGGACAAGTAGGCGCGCAATGGATTATGGTCATTGTAGTTAAATACCACATTTTCTGCACTAAACTACGTAGAAAATTGGCCTGTTGGAAACTATAACTCCCGACTACATTGCATAGCTCGGGCTTCATCCGATTTATCTCTCCAGAAAATGTGCAATGTGCTTATTGAGCTCACAGAAGAAGAAAAAAACGAATGAAATGGAATTCAAATAATTGAACCTACATTGGTCAAATAATAAAATAACCGAAATGTTGGTTAAATCGCTCAACACTAATGACCAACTGACTCAATGGTGTGTGTACAGACAGTCTGTACCGTCTCGAGACAGGAGCAACCACTAAGGCTGGCACGGTAATTGTATAATAGTGTCAATTGACAATTATGGATGAAGACAGTCATTAAAATAAAATAACCGTCATTAAAATAAAACTCATTAACCGCTTTAATACATATTTTTATTTTTAAAAAGTTGTACATATTAAAGTCAACAAACTTTCCCCCCAAAAGCACCAAAGTTAAAGCCTGGTCCACATAGAACAGCCAATATAACGAGACAAAACGACCCAGTTCTAGAATGTTGTGCTGTGGACCGAACAGCTGACGGAAGACCGCTTGGCATTCAGACAAGTCAAGTTGAGTCTGTTTCCGCTGTAACATAGACTCTTAACAACGTGATGAAACTTTGTTGCCCCTCGTTTCATCAAAGGTGTTGTAGCAAATGAGTATCATAAAATACATGCCTCACAATGTCTTACCAAAACAGGCCACACTGGCTAACCAACACAGGAGACGGAGGATAAACTCTTTTTTACAAAACGTTTGCTATTCGAACAATTACAACGGTGACCGTGGTCATTTGGCTGACAAATAACCGTCTTTCTAAATTCCATGACCCACCACAACAAGAGAGAGGTGGAGACTACAGGCTGCAAGCAGACACTCCTCAATATCAGCCTGCCCTGAAGAATGCAAGGGCTTGTGTTATCTTTAAGGGAGAAACCGCCACACAGATTACTGGAATCACACACGCACAGTCAGATTGCGATAGTGAAGGGAAGGGATTTCTTATTAAGTTATATTGTTTTCCCTGGAAGAGGATCCTTACTAGTAGTAATACATCCCGTTTCATTTGTCAGTCCAGTTTTACTGTACGCTTTATTTGTAGCACAGCAGTCAATAGCAGGTGCTTTAGGGAAGCACCTGGCATGAAGTTAGATAGGGGATGGGTTAGGGATGGGTTAGGTAAGGGTTAGGGATGGGTTAGGGATGGGTAGCCAAGCTCTCAGCTCACACCTGATAGTCCCCAACTGTAACCAATTAACACCATCAAACGTATATATATATATATATATATATATATATATAATGCCTTACAAAAGTATTCATCCCCCTTGGCGATTTTCCTATTTTGTTGCATTACAACCTGTAATTTAAATGGATTTTTATTTGCATTTCATGTAATGGACATACACAAAATAGTCCAAATTGGTGAAGCGGAATGAAAAAAATAACTTGTTTCAAAAAAATTCAAATAAATAAATAACGCAAAAGTGGTTCGTGCATATGTATTTACCCCCTTTGCTATGAAGCCCCTAAATAAGATCTGGTGCAACCAATTAACCTTCAGAAGGTCACATAATTAGTTAAAATCAATGTCCACCTGTGTGAAATCTAAGTGTCACATGATCTGTCACATGATCTCAGTATATTACACACACACCTGTTCTGAAAGGCCCCAGAGTCTGCAACACCACTAAGCAAGGGGCACCACCAAGCAAGCGGCACCATGAAGGAGGGTGGTAGGGCAGGCGGGGAGGAGGGTGGTAGGGCAGGCAGGGGAGGAGGGTGGTAGGGGCAGGCAGGGGAGAGGGTGGTAGGGCAGGCAGGGGAGGAGGGTGGTAGGGCAGGCAGGGGAGGAGGGTGGTAGGGCAGCAGGGGGAGGAGGGTGGTAGGCAGGCGGGGGGAGGAAGGGGAGGAGGAGGGTGTAGGGAAGGCAGGGGTAGGAGGGTGGCAGGGCAGGCAGGGGAGGAGGGTGGCAGGGCAGGCAGGGGAGGAGGTGGCAGGGCAGGCAGGGGAGGAGAGTGGGTAGGGCAGGCAGGGGAGGAGGGTGGTAGGGCAGGCAGGGGAGGAGAGTGGTAGGGCAGGCAGGGGAGGAGAGTGGTAGGGCAGGCAGGGGAGGAGGGTGGCAGGGCAGGCAGGGGAGGAGAGTGGTAGGGCAGGCAGGGAAGGAGAGTGGTAGGGCAGGCAGGGGAGGAGAGTGGTAGGGCAGGCAGGGGAGGAGAGTGGCAGGGCAGGCAGGGGAGGAGGGTGGCAGGGCAGGCAGGGGAGGAGGGTGGCAGGGCAGGCGGGGGAGGAGGGTGGCAGGGCAGGCGGGGGAGGAGAGTGGTCAGGGCAGGCAGGGGAGGAGAGTGGCCAGTCATGCATGGAGAAGCAGGGTCCTAACATGGGGTAGACTCAGAGCCACTGGGGTGAGCTGTTATGCACTGGCAGACCTGCCAAGCACAATTATTACCATGTGACCCAGACCCAGTGAGCTCAGAAAACTGAGGGGTTGGTGGGAAATGTGACCACCTAGTCCAGACCTGGGTTTGTGTGTCGGAGCGTTTGAAGAAATGGGACAAGGAACCATCACTTTTCCACTCCCAAATGAAGCATGCCAAAAAGTGATGATATACTTATGCTGTAGTGCATTCGTTTGAGATTATACTGATATACATATGAAGCAGTGCATTCGTTTGAGATTACACTTTGTTCTCATAAAGTTACAATGTAGTTTAGCAGTGATTTTCAAACTGACACTTGAGATGTCTTAAAAACGGATTTTTTTAACTGCCAAAAATATAAAGAAACATTTGTGAGGGACAAGCCTGTATTCGTAGCTAATGAAAGAGTTATGTAGGTCTACATGGTATTAGTTCGAGAGTAAACAACAATAAATACATTATTGAAACACTGATGTAGCTACTGTTAAACTCAATTGAAAAATGGCTTGCTATGTTTGCTAAAAGATAAACAAAAACGATGAGATAATTAGCTATAGCTAGCTAGTTGATTGGCTTTCTAGTAAAATAGATGCTAACTAGTAGTAAACCTAGCTCGATCACCTGTTGCAAGAGGATCTCAATCACAAATCTTAATAAAGATAGCTAGCTAGATAGTTATATTTTGTAAGGAACAGTAGCAAATGATAGATTGACCACAATGGGGCGGCAGGTGGCTTAGTGGTTAAGAGCGTTGTGCCAGTAACCGAAAGGTCGCTGGTTCTAATCCCCAAGCCGACTAGGTGAAAAATCTGTCGATGTGCCCTTGAGCAAGGCACTTAACCCTAATTGCTCCTGTAAGTCGCTCTGGATAAGAGCGTCTGCTAAATGACTAAAATGTAAAATGTAAAATGTAAATTAGCTAGCACATTTTCTCTAGTACTGTAGCCAGCTAGCTCTCTTGGTAGCCAACTAGCTCTAACTTGGATAGCAAGCTACCTAGCTATAAACTAGCTAGGTCAACGTAATTAAATACAGAATTGAACTACGGTACGCATTTCAGTACTGTCGGTAGCTAGCTACTTAAGCATCTCTACATGTAGTTTGTCTCTGTACCTTTATCAAACAGCTAGCTGGCCTATAGATAGCTAACATTAGCTAGATTACTTGCCAACTACCTTAACATACTGGTTAGCTAACTACTGTAGCTTCTAAATGGATCTCTGCAACAAGTGAGAGAAACAACGGCGCATCCACCTGATCTGTTCGAAAGCTTACCGTGAAAGAAAACACAGAAGTCTGTGATCTAATTTCAAAGAAATCGGTCTGCCGTGTAAATCAGTGCACTCAAACGATTAAATTCAACAAGTATTCCCACTCTTTTCTCCGTCCAGTTCGTCTTCCCTACACTCTCCGATCAAGAATTGTGGGAACAATCCCTGTTTTACACACGACGCATTCCACAGGCTGATTCTAGGCTGATTATCCTAGGCTTGGGTTCAGAATTAAAGGGATACTCACTACTTTTCTCACGCCAATAAGTAGGTCATTAATTATGGTTGTTTACTTTTCCTGCATTCGGTAAACATTTGGAGGAGGTTGGAGTTGAATTACTTTGGGCATGTAGCGTTTTAGAAGATTCCAACTGAAAAAGTATTTAATATTTTTACTAAAATGTAAGTCATCCACAGTATGTCTTTCATTCTTGTGTGTGTGTGCCTGGCTGCCTGCTTGCATGTGTGTGAGTGTGTTTTGTATTACTGCCTGCTGCCTGTCTGTCACTGGTTAGTGTTAAACCACAAGGCAGCCCAGTCCTAAGCGTCCTGACTGTTTGGTGCCTTGTGAGATATATCAGTGTGATTTGTTTAACGCTTAATAAGCAAACTAAAGTAAACAGTCATCCATAATATTCCCCAGCTGTCTTGTCCTGCTGTCCGATTTATGCCTGTTTTTAGGTGATTGTGGGCTTTGTCTCTCTACTCAGGTCTATAAACACTTCAAGCCCTTTAAGTGGAAAAAAAATGAGTTTCAGGTAGGATAATCTACTACCAGTATAGTAGATTATATACTGTAGCTATATCTGACTTCTCCTAGACAATAAACTGAATAAGAGTAACCAGGCAGATATAAGGCAGTAGTTTCCTCATTCCAGAGTGGAATTAGAGTATAATATGAAATGGACACTGAGACTACAAGTTCCCCATACATTTACATTACATTTAGTCATTTAGCAGACGCTCTTATCCACACAGTTTAAAAACGAAAAACCAGAGAGAGAGAGAGAGAGAGAGAGAGAGAGAGAGAGAGAGAGAGAGAGAGAGAGAGAGAGAGAGAGAGAGAGAGAGAGTTCTCCATGTGTTTACAGTCACACTGTTTCCCAGAGGATTCCCCTCCCAAATAATCACTGCAGACCATGTGTGCAAAGAGAAGGGTCTATGAAAATCCATTAACACAAGTTGTGACATTAACGTATACAAAAAACGGCAGGCCCAAATGTCGTTCTATCCAGTAGCTGGGTACTATATACTATAAGTGATGTGTGGCTTGAGGCCCAACTACAGTTTCAAACAATGCTGTTTGGACTTGAGATAAGCATTCTATGGTAACATTACATTACATTTTAGTCATTTAGCAGACGCTCTTATCCAGAGCGACTTACAGTTAGTGAATACATATATATATATATATATATTTTTTTTTCATACTGGTCCCCCATGGGAATCGAACCCACAACCCTGGCGTTGCAAACGCCATGCTCTATCAACTGAGCTACATCCCTGCCGGCCATTCCCTCCCCTACCCTGGACAACGCTAGGCCAATTGTGCGCTGCCCATGAGTCTCCCGGTCGCGGCCGGCTGCGACAGAGCCTGGATTCGAACCAGGATCTCTAGTGGCACAGCTAGCACTGCGATGCAGTGCCTTAGACCACTGCGCCACTCAGGAGACAGAGGGAATTCCTAAGAGGGAAGGGGACACACACAGCCTAGAAACCATGTAAGAAGTGAACTATTTTTGGCTCAACTCATTCAATATAACAATAACAAGGGTACAAAACAAATGAAGCAGCAAATAAACAAACATCCTCCCTTATTTGCAGAAAGGGGACTTTTACTTCAACCGCAGCTCAATTACATTAGTAAACAGAGAGAGAGTATTTTTTTGGATGAGAAATTAAATTCAGTGACTGACATACCTTTCCCCGTGGGTTCCTTCCTTGTTATTCCAAGAGGTTAGGATTTTGTCTCAGGCCATTACTTGGAAACTCAAATTAATTGAATACTTTCGGCCAGCCAAACGTAAAGAGCATGCGGTTTCGTGAAGTAGTGGGAATTAGTGTCTGTGGGTGGTACGATATTCCATTGGGTCTCATGCAAGTCATTCAATAAGCCCCTCTGCTCTGTTTGGTGCCAATATTTCAGTCATCCTTTTCCCCTAACAGCTATACTATTGCATTGCATTAATATGTCCATGTCAACGTCCAAAGAAAGGCTGTTATGTGGGAGTGATTTAAAAAACAACAATTAATACTGTGGTATCTGAGGAATTTATGACTTTGCTAATGGTTTCAAATGGTTTTAGAGGATGTTGACTCAGCTTAAAGGGAGCATCTGGAGAGCAGTTCTATAGGGGCACCCTAAAGCCGAGGAAGTCTGTTAGGTGGCCTCCTGGGATTGGTCTGTAGGGAATACACCCATATTATGTTACATAGGGCATAGGATATAAATACCACGGTCAAAACAAAGGAGGACAGAACAACATATTACAGATTGGGGTCGTTGTTCTCCAGATATTCTGCAGATATCTGTAAATTGACGCTGTCACCCTTTGATGTAAATAAACCTTTATAATCAAAGTACAGTGTCAGCGGAATTCTTGTTCTCACAGCATCTCAGCATAGTTTTCTCGACACCACAATACCACTTCCCTCTTACACTGGTATCAGACCGTTATGCTATTCCTCTCCTGTCTGTGTGTGTTTAGTGTTTCTTTGCCCCGTCATCTGCTGATGGTGCCTCGCCGCCACACCAAAGAGAGGGCTACTTCATCATGACTCTTTCGCCATGAGGCTACATAATGGAATGATTTCAGTGCCAACAGAAATTGTACTTGAATTCAATATTAAGTCAACGCAGTTTCAAATCATGAAAAATAAAATATCAATATCTTTTAATACAAATTCAAAATTATAGAATTCAAATACAATTTCTGTTGGCACTGAAATCACTCCACACTACAATGTGTAATATCATCTTATCATCTGGACTGCTCCTGCATAGGGGGTGAGGAAAGAGTGACAGAAGGAGAAGCACATTGGTGTTGAAACATCCTGTTCAGCTTTCAGAGTGGAGTGCTTCTATTGTAGTTGTAAACATTGTCTGGTAGCAACACTTTATCTTCCTTACGGTACAGAACATTCCAGGCATTTACTCATAAAGTACATGGTGAAATAGCAATCACACAATAATGAGGTATGAATTACGTGTTCACTTCTTAGATAGTTACCAATTCTGTAGAATTCTATGAAGTAAGTTCCACTGTTACCACATACTTCCTAGTAGGCCTAAATACCATGTTAACAGTTGAAACAGTCACTTCTGTCACGACTTCCGCCGAGGCTGCTTCCCCTCCTTGTTCGGGCAGGTTTCGGCGTTCGCCGTCACCGGCTTACTAGCTGCTGCCGATCCATTTATCATCACTCCACTCGTCTTGTCTAATTAATCACACACACCTGGTCCTTATCCCCAATTAGTCATTGTATAAGTGTTCCCTCTGCTTCCTTGTCTGTGTGGGTGATTGTTTGTAGTGAGCTGTATGTAGCTCGGTTGAGCTACCCTTACCTTGTTGTTGCCAGGGTAGATATTTCCCCTGTGCCTGAGTTTTGTTGTCGCATGCTTGCGGAACTGTTTATCGACGGAATAACGTTTTTGGATGCGTATTACTCTCCTGCGCCTGACTCCTCCTATCACACGCATCACAGAATCACCCACCAGTTTATCGAAGGACAACCTGGTGTCCCAGCAGGCTAGCTCCCGTCGGACGTCCTCCTGCAAATGGCACCGAAAATGGTCAATCAGGGCCCGCTCGTTCCACCCGGACCCCGCTGCCAGCGTCCGGAACTCCAACGCGAAGTCCTGCGCGGTCCTCGTCCCCTGCCTCAGGTGGACCAGTCGCTCACCCGCCTCTCGACCCTCGGGCGGGTGGTCGAATAA